GATTTGAAACACGGCAGAACTAATGCCTCTGCCGTTGCTGATCATTGTTATAACGTAGTGGGCTCGCACGATATTGTTTTTTCCAAGACCAAGGTACTCTACAAACCTTCGGGCTACCATCAAATATTTGTCCATGAAGCCATCCAGATATATAAATACAGAGACAATTTCAACTGAGAAGATGGGTATAAGCTGAGCAATCATTGGAAGGACGTTATTAACCAAGCAAAGTCGTAACTTGCTGCGGTGCTTTCATTCTTCCCTGCCATTTGGCTGTGATCTCTGACTCTCTGAGTTGCATTTCCCTGTTAGGTGCCTCTGCATTAACGGGCTGGGGTCTCACTAACATGGCCACCTCTGCTCCCTTAGCCTCGATGTATTGATGGTTCTGGCTGTGTGATGAGCTGTGTGTCTGACTGGCGCGGCCACCGTTGTGGTGGTTCTCTTGCGTGGACGCTCTTGCCTCACAGCGCAGTTGGCAGCGCCGCAGCTTGTATTACACATAGACATGACATTAACCTGTGAATCCCCCTAATCTCTCTGCCTAATCTCTCCCATCAACATAGTGCTACTCTCCCGTTAACACTGCTGTGGTGCGCATGTGCGGGGGCGATACTCTTATGCGGCGACGGATGCGGGGATGGAATTCCTTTCCAGCTCAGACCCTGCCTGCTTGCCCTTCGCCACATATATAACGTCTTGTTGTAGCAGCTCTCTCGCTGTGTTTCTTCCTGGTTCAGCAGTTCCACTGCTGGACAATTTTTTCCACCTGAGGACGACCGCTTGTGTTGCGATCGAAACGTCGTGATATATATATTTTTTATTTTTCTACCTACGTGACTTTACCGAAAGAACCAAAGAGTAATGACGATAACGTTAGGCTCAATATAAAAATTCCCAAAGCAAGTCATATACTGCGAGCTTTCTAAAATATTAAAGGCATCTGTGAGTGGGACAACCTGAAATCATGAGTATGTATAACTTTGGCAGTTATTAAAGGAATTGAAGGATAACAATGATTAAATATATGAGCTGAATAAAGAAAAGCAACATTATCAATGTGCCTCTAGAAAGATACATCAATGTATATTACCTACCATGACACTAATACAAATATATACACGGTATATATATATACAAATGGGCATTGACAGAGAAAAAAATGGAACAAAAGCTGAAAAAAGCAAAAATAAACATTTCGAGATGCGCGCTTGTCATTACACATGAAGAAATAAAACTGTGGAACACATGCAGCATGCATTATATTGCCTGTTAAAAAAGTGGGCTTGAGGCAGGACACGTCGAATGGTTAAGATATGACGGCCAGTAATTCTGGACAAACCACAGCGTGGCACCGCGGTATAGATCAATGTCAGCTCATTCAAGATGGGTTGTTAGATCGTGAGATAACTACTTTTTATCATGGGACCTCCTTTGTACCAAAATATGAGAATAGGTTTTCCCCTTTTTTCTGGCAACAAAACAGGTGTTAAGATGTTAAAACACCAAACTGAAACCTTTTACAAGGAATCATGTGTGCATTAACCACAATACACTTTTTTATTTTACCAGTATTGTGATATTTTTCGTTCTTTTTCAGAAGCGACATGGCCACAAATGATTGCTCAAACGAAGTGGTTTATTATGTGGAAATTTATAGAAGTCAAATACTCTAAACGCAAAATCAGGGTCGGGATCGAACCCACGACCTCCTGTATACCAGGCGAAGTAATTAACATCTCGCCACCGTGATGATGATGAGATACATGCAAACTCCAAATATACAGCAGGTATCATCAGGGTCGGGATTGAACCCACGACCTCCTGTATACCAGGCGAGGTCGTTAACATCTCGCCACCGTGATGATGATGAGCGAGACATGCAAACTCCAAATACACAGCAGGCATCATCAGGGTCGAGATCGAACCCACGACCTCCTGTATACCAGGCGAGGTAATTAACATCTCCTAGCCACCGCAGCACCCTCCAGAGGTGGTTTGCGGCTTTGAGGTCTTCATTGAGCAAGTAGCTGATCATGGGAAAGACTTTACTTTCAGATTGTGGTAATCTTGTCATATTGTTTTACTTTTGGCAAATAACTATGATAATAAAGTAAATTTAGATTGTAAGCTGTACTTTTCTTCTTTTGAACCCATGTATCATTTCAAAATCTCAATGCGCGAATGTAAATGGTTCAATCGCATTTTGGTTTAAATGTACACACCTAAGTATCTCTTACGCAACCCAGCAGCCGTACTGCGTGCTGTAAATGCATCATTAGGGCAGCACTGATTCAAGGCAAGAAAACTGTGAACCGGTTTCGAGAAGAGTCTCATCAGCAGCCTCGCGTGAATCGATCCTGGCGAACTTGCGATCAATACGGGTCCTGGTCCAGACATTCCTTCGTTATTTTGTGATCTCTGACAACAATTATTTGATAATTTTGCTTCAAACGCATATTTGTAAACAAGAGGGTTAATATTATTCGTGGGTCTTTCGGTAAAGTCACGCAATACCAGCAGGAAGCGTGACAGCTGATGGGACACTATAGATCGAAACAGGTCTATTGAAATTGCTTGTTTTGAAATCATTGCTACTGTAATTATGCAATGCCAGGTGAGTTGAATATTTGTTTTACTGTGTGTATGTTGAGACGGATATAAATAGGAGTCATAATGCAAACAAAAAACATAACTCCTATAATGTATGCACTGTCCTTGAAGTTGATTGGTCCACACCCGAGACAGCTTTCCTTAAGAGCCTAGTCTCACATGGTGTTGGACTAGATGACGCCAAAAGCCGCACAACTCAAACTTATCTGTTGCCAGATAAAAGGGTAAAAAACCAATTATCATATTTTTTACTGGCAAATGAGGTTCCAATGGGGTATGGCACAAATTGTCACAACATCAGAGCATGTAAGACACCGGCAAATTAGCTTCGCAGTGGGAACACCCGTGCACACGACGCATACGCTGTGAAACCAAAGTGAATCGGGCGACTGAACCTGAGATCGCCGAGACGTTTAATTAATTTACGTGGCGTTAAGTTCGCGCTGCCGATCACAGCCAACGCAGCGGACGGGAGAAGACGCGCGGACCCCCCTGCCTTGTCGAGAACCACTTTCACCGCAGCGTCGTCATGCTCGTCCCATGGGAAGTAAAATTTGGAGAATTTATTAAAAAAAATTTTAAGACAATTACCAAAGATAACAAGCAAAACAATTGTTCGAGTAAATAATTAATAACGAAATTTCCGCACCAAACAACACAGCGGCTGCGACTTTGCGTTGCACAAGGGCAGCGAGCGGAGCACACGTGGGGCAACCCGGAAGTTTACCACGCCGCTACGGATAGCCGGAGTGGCCAAAAATTTAAAATTATAACGCGATTTAAAAACAAAGTTTAGACTAAATTTAAATTAAAGCTTTCGTGACTGCAGGGATTCATATTCTTGGTTTTTTTCGGTAAAGTCACGTAGAAGGGAAATAATAAAATAATACAAATATTAAACAATATACATTATCACGACGTTTCGACTGCAACACAAGCAATCATCATCAGGTGTGAAATCCACAGCAAGAAAATGTTCTTGCAATTTTTTTTTCTTGCTGTGGATTTCACACCTGATGATGATTGCTTGTGTTGCAGTCGAAACGTCGTGAGAATTTTTATTGTTTTATATTTTTACTATTTTATTATTTCCCTTCTACGTGACTTTACCGAAAGAACCAAGAATATAAAGTCTAGACTTTTAAATATCTGATGGCGACTCCAGTTTCCACGCCTGATTGAATATTTTCTGGGGTACCCCCAGAGGGGGAGGGTCAATATTTTCAGGAACTCAGCCCTGGATGAAATAGCCTTCATTCTATATTGGAAGTTTTCGTGACTGCAAGGATCCATACTCTTTGGTGCTTTCGGTAAAGTCACGTAGGTATAAAAGAAAATAAATCACGACGTTTCGGGCGCAACACAAGCGTCCATTATCAGGTGTGAAAGCATGGTCTGCTGCGGAGGCAGACTGTGTTAAAAGTTTTGAAATGGATGTAGCCCAAGAGTCATAAAGAAGTGGCCGGGGCTAGTGATGTTAATGTGAGAAATTAGCATGTAACTGTAGAAAAGCTAATAATACCACACTGCAATACCACACCACCCCACCCAACAATACCACCCAACAATACCACACCACAATACCACACCACAAAAGCACACCACAATACCACACCACCACACAACAATACCACACCACAATACCATACCACAATATCACCCCACAATACCATACCACACCACAATACCACACCACAATACCACACCACAATACCATACCATACCACAATACCACACAACAATACCACACCACAATACCACACCACAATACCATACCACAATACCACACCACCACACAACAATACCATACCACCACACAACAATACCACACCACCACACAACAATACCACACCACACTACAATACAATACCACACCACACCACAATACAATACCACACCACAATACAATACCACACCACCAATACAATACCACACCACCAATACAATACCACACCACCAATACAATACCACACCACCAATACAATACCACACCACCAATACAATACCACACCACCAATACAATACCACACCACCAATACAATACCACACCACCACCACAATACCACACTGCACTGCACTGCTCTACTCTACTCTACTGTAATGAAGCAGGCACCGCCTTTTATACCGTCACGTGTCATGGGGCATACCATCTGGGTCTTCCACAATGAGGGGGGGGGGCTTTGTACAAATGACATAAGTCAATAGGCGCGTTGGTAAGTACGTTAACGTTGCACTAAGTACTTTAGCTAATGTAATTTAATAACTGCTTTAGCTATGGTACTGTATAAGTATTTACATTTATAATAAACTATTATATACTACGCTAATCAAGCAGACACCGCCTGTTATACCGTCACGTGTCATGGGGCGTACCATCTGGGTCTTCCGCAATAGGGGGGTTGTTGTTTGTGGTGATCTCATAGAAGTCAGTAGGCGCATTGGTAAGTCCGTCAACGTTGCACTAACTCCTCTCGCCGCCGTCATTTACTAACTGTACAAATGTTCACGTCTATAGCTCGGAGTGTTGTTGAGCTGTGGACAACAGCGGCGCTTACGTGCAGGAAGTGTGTCCAAAGCCGTTGGAACATGCGTCAAGAGTGCCACTGAAATGTGTGCGATTCGGATTTTTTTTGTTTTTATGAACCGCGTTTTTATAACGCCGCGACTTTGCTCGTAACGTTGACGAAACGTGTCCGTTGTGTCACCCCCGTGTGCCATAATTATTAACGGAGACGAACGCTGCAACGCTCTTATTGTTGTGAACAGCGAGGCGCTTGGAACACCGCCCATACTTTCTTGAGACCGAGTGACCAAACGTTACATTTCCCAGCGCGCATAAGCACTGGGCGTGATGACCTATGTTTATACGCTGTAGGATATATAACCTGCCAAATATTTGATGTGGCATTTTGTATAGTCCATGAGTCCATACCGGATTACTTTCATTTGCCGATACCAGTTGAGATGGCAAAACTTATGAGGTTCCAATTTCGCTATGTGGCAAATGCCAGTGGTGCATACCTGTCAACCCCTTATCAGTGCTTACCATATTACAGACAAATTCAGACCTTATTGGTCATCCCGTGCCCTTATACATCCCAACGTTCATCCGAAAAAGTCCCATCACAAGGGACAAACGAATAGACAACATCCAAAAAATTGCCCGTATTGAGATAGCTATATGCCGTGTGGACCTGAAGACGCAATTTCCCTGTACAACAGGGGTGGGGAACCTTTTTTTTGCCAAGGGCCATTTGGATATTTATAACATCATTCACGGGCCATACAAAATTATCAACTTAAAAATGAGCCCGTTTATATTTGCTCAAACATTTTATTAATTCACCCCTAATGCGATGGCTGGAACTGCTTCTCTTTGGTGAGGCGTGTGATGTTAGCTGCTATTGATGATGTTGCTGCTACTCGCAACTGCTTTTCCAGGTTTGCTCCTAGATTTATTGAATTTCGAGTCCCGCCTGCGGTTGCATTTGCAGGGCCATACCAAATGATTTTGCGAGACCTCATACGGCCAGCGGGCTGGACGTTCCCCACCCCTGCTGTATAAGAATACGGGTAAACCGTATGGGTTGACAGCCGTGGTGGTGTCTATGATAACCGTTTCAAATGAGCGGAGTTATCAAATATTCATAGTATATCTCACCCAGATTCGGAATAACGCTGGCGAACACAGTGGAACAGCACACACGTCCAGAATAAACACGTCACTCGAGAGCCAAACATCATCTCACCTCCTGGCTTTGACATTTCTCCTCTTCGAAGACACCGGTGGTGGGACCATGGGAACATCAACAAGCTGTTCGTTGTACGCCTCTCCTTCATGAATGGAAAATAAAAGACTAACACAACTTCACAATCCCATTTCTGTTATAATAGACATCACAGAGGAATTTGCTTTTGCGCATAGGCGAGTAAGTCTGACGTTCTCCAAGCCCGTATTTACAGCTGCGTCTAATGGCACAGTTTTATCACTTTGCAAGTGTGGGATTTTTCTTGAGTATGGTAAATGCCTCATGCATTAAGTATGATAATTATGCAAAGCTGCTATTTTGTTGAACTCCAGCTGGTTTATGTGGCACTCACGAATGAATGTCAATGACTGATGAAACATGAATTTCACGTGTTTGTTTTTCCGTTCTCCACAGTTATATCAGGCCAGGCGACGATGAGCAGGCATGTTTCGCAAGGGGAAAAAGCGGCACAACAGCAGCAGCTCACAGGGCAGTGAAATCAGTGCAAAGAGCAAGGTACTGCACACACGCACGCACACTGCAGCTCTCCGATGTGTTTTCGAGTTGTTGCTTCTGCATGTCGTTCGACATGATGTCCAAAGTTTTAATACCGGTGCCGGGAGTTTCGCCAGGAACTGAGTTTCGTATCTCACTTTCCTTTATGAATTATATATCGTTGATTGATGCGGCTGGTGTTTCTGGGTCCTGATGAGGGGGTTGGCTGAGCTCCATTAGCTTCCAAATTAGGCCAGCCAATGTTGTCTTTTCATCATCTGGGAGGAAACCAGAGCACCTAGAGGAAGCTCACCACCAATGCATATGAAGTACCCAGAGAAAGCTCACCGGCATGCATACAAGGGAGGTAGCGCTCTCTACAAGCCCGCTAAACGTACGGGTTTTATGAACCCACTTGCTGCACTGCCATATTACTGTCATCAGCTGGCCTATGTGAGAGGACAGCCATTCAGCATCAATAACCGGCAGCACCAGCAGTGTCGACCAATGCTTTATTATTGTGAGAGAAAGTGAGTTGGTCATTTCAGTTCCTGAAGCAGCTTCCGGCATATGGAGCGAAACGTCCGACAACATTCAACACAAAAACTCATCAGAAGATTACACAGCACAACCGCAAACACCTATGCAGTAGTTCTCTTTATGTATTTGCAATCATTTGTATTAGTTACTGCTTAGTTTACGTTAATAAATAAACATACATTCTGTATCCCTGCATCATATATATTTTTTCGTTTGGCAGCCTATTACCCTTCCACACGTATGTTAACAAACGACGTTTGTTCGTTAAGTCTGGAAGTCCAAGTAAAAAGGAAATATTTTCCACATAAAAATCAAAAAAATATAATTCTGCTGGACTATCGATCTTCAAAAATAATGTTAGCAAGCAGCATGTGTTGGGTTACATAAGCCTGCAAGGTCATTACACATCTAAACTAAACGTATAATTTTATTTTATATTGCAGGGAGATGAAAGGTATGGTTATTAATTAATTAATTCAAACTAAGTAATCAAGACTGAAACAAATGTACAAACACAAAGAGGACTGAATGCTGATGTACCGGCCCTGGTGAGACACTGCCTCACCAACACTTACTTCACCTGGAAAGGTACATTCTACAAATAAGTTGAAGGTACCCCAATGGGTTTTCCCTTATCTCCAGTGATAGCCAATGTTTTCATGGAAACATTTGAGACAGATGTCATCCTACGTCTTCCTTGTGGAAGAGATACGTAGCTGACACGTTTATCATCTGGCCTGCCAGCTCTGAACCAATTCTTCAACCACATCAATTTCATCCACCCAGCCATCAAATTCACCATGGAGGTGGAAAAGCAGGCAAGTAACCAATCAAAACCATCACCTTGCCATACATAGCAGGGGTAACCAAAAAGATTTACAAAATCATAAGCAAACACAAGATCCAGGTTTCATTCAACACAGTGCATAAAATTCGTGATCTCATCTCATCTGTGAAGGATGTGATCCCTGATATGCAATACCCTGGTGTCTACAAACTAAGCTGTGGCTACGGCAGTAGTTACATTTGGGAAACTAAGCGACATGTCTCGGACCGTGTTCGTGAACACAAGGCAGATCTGAAACACGGTAGAACCAATACTTCGGCCTTTGGCTGATCAATGTTTTAACGCTTTGGGCACACACAAAATAGATTTCTCCAAGACCAAGGCAAGTAACCGTGATCTCATCTCATGGCCATCAACAAAGATTCGTTCATGGCCATCAACAAAGATTCGTTCATGAAGCCATCCAGATATATTAACACAGACAAAATTTCAACCGAGAAGATGGGCACAAACTGTGCAATCATTGGAAGGATGTTATTAACCAGTTTAAGTCACAACTGGCTGTGATGTTTCCATCTTACCTGCCGATGTTAGCAGTTATTTCCGACTCTCTGAGTTGCATTCCTCGATGTGGCGGTGGCTACATTGACGTGCTAATCTCTCACAATACAATGGCCAGCCCAACAGCTCTGGGGTGCCCTCGATCTTCCTTCTTTAACCCCGCCCACTTACCCTTGGGCTGCACCCATCTCAGGCCTATATAAAACCCTGCTTCAGAAGCTCTCTTGCCATATTTTTCACCTGAGGACGATTGCTTGTGTTGCGATCGAAATGTCGTGATTTTTTTATTTTTCTATCTACGTGACTTTACCGAAAGACCCAAAGAGTACAAATATTAACCCACATTTGTTTATGTATTTGCTACCAAACATGCTCCACTATAGCTCTGAGTTTTTAATAGTGCTGGAATTAATTCTAGATTTGAAGCTTTCGTGACTGCAAGGATTCATACTCTTAGTTTTTTCGGTAAAGTCACGTAGGTAAAAAAATGAAATTAAAATTAATAAAAATAAAATAATAAACTCACGACGTTTCGGGGGCAACACAAGTCTCCGTCATCAGGTGGGACCGTCACAGCCAGATTTGCTGAAAATGTTTATTTCATTTTTTTACCTACGTAACTTTACCGAAAGAACTAAGAGTATAGTGCTGGGATTGTTTGACTACTCAGTCAATTTACCAACTAAAAGTTATAATCGACAACATCTGTGGTCGATTACTCGGGCCCATTTAACAATGGCAACTGCACACACATCCCTACTCCCCAAAGGCAGGAAACCCCCAACAAGCCACGCACAGCGTGATGTGGCTCATGGTTATGCTAATGGCATCTTTCCCATCCAGCGACACACGTGGAAGCAGAGGCGCGACTTTCTTCCCCAACTATATCCGTGTTATTCGATAATCTGAGTGCTTGAACAGATAATCGATAGAGTAATCGTATGGCTTAAATAATTGGATAGCGAAGCTCTATTTTTGTCATTGTCGGTTTTGTCATTGCAGTCCATAGACTCCAGTTTGGGTAAGCTCTCACGCTCCAGCACTGTTGCAAGCCTCGACACCGATTCCACCAAAAGCTCCGGTAAGGACTGCACAATTGTAGTTCATAATAAAGGCTTTTGGGTTAGATCACGTAAGTAGAAATGTGTCGTAACCCTGCACCATCCGACACAGCCAGTAAGGTTTGTCACGTAAACAAAATGCGCTATTTATACTTTCGCGATCTAACCCAAAAACCGAAAGCCTATGTGTTAAACTGACAAATGTAATTGTTTACCCACCTCCGAATTAGCACGGTTGGCTACGTACGGTGCGAAAGAAGTTAGACATACATACACAAAAGCTTCCCTGTTACTGTTGTCGTTGTTAAGGTGGTTCTGCTGCTGCTGCTTTGAGTGTTTGCAGGGCTTCATTTCTCATGGAAACATCCACCACAGACCCTACACCCCACCACCCCCAGAGCTCAGCCCCAGACAGCATGTTTAACTATTTTCTTTTTTTCTTTTTATTGCGAGCTGCTGCAGAAACCCCAAACATATAAGGGGAGTTTCACCCATTGAATTGTCGATTAACAGATTATTTCAATCGGGTAATGCAATCAAATGTATCACGCATAAAATGTACATGAATCAAAAAGCATCTATTCATCCACAAGCGATTCAATCCATTGCATTATGACATCCTACACCCCTGCTGTGTATACGTCCATTTTAGATTGTAATAATTCATTCATGTCCTTAATTATAACTTACATTTCTCTGTCAAACCACTGCTGGATATCGGCCTCTGAGTGTCATGCTGATCATGGGGGTTGTTTGACCGGACTTCAACACACTGGTCAGCGCGGGCAGGTTGATTGAAGGAGCCTAGTACTGGTGCAGATATCACTCACCACTGATGCTAGATGTAAGGTTTTTAGCATAGTGCGCTAACCACTACACCACCACTCCCCCCCCTTTCCCCCCACCTATTGATATAAGGTGTTGCGAATAGCAGTGCGAACATCGCCGAGTTCCGCGTGCGGTATCTGGGGGCCTTGGAGAGAGTGCGAGTGGGAGACTATGGGGCTCTGCATACACCAGCGGACATAATCAATTGCATCGACTTAGCCCAGGTAATGCCTCCACCATCTGTACAGTATTACCTTGTTATTCATGAAGTTGCTATCCGCGATTTTGGCTATCCGTGATTCGAATCTGGAACTCTACACGACTGCATCGAGAGAGAGAGAAAAAAAGTGATGACATCAAGTGATGAGAGAGAATGTAATGCGAGAAAGGGATGAGATAAAATTATGCAAGATAGAGTGATGAGATTAAGCTAAGTTCGTTGATAAACTATTTTGTAATAATCTTGATTTGAAGCTTTCGTGACTGCAGGAATCCATACTCTTTGGTTCTTTCGGTAAAGTCACGTAGGTGTAAAATAAAATAAATCACGACGTTTCGGGCGCAACACAAGCGTCCATCATCAGGTGGGAAAGCATGGTCTACTGCTGAGGTCTGTAGCACACCAAGCTTTCCCACGTGATGATGGATGGTTGTGTTGTGCCCGAAACGTTGTGATTTATATTATACCTACGTGACTTTTCATCTTCTTGGTTCTTTCGGTAAAGTCACGTAGAAGGGAAATAATAAAATAATAAAAATAAAACATAATAAAATTATTCTCACGACGTTTCGGCCACAACGCAAGCAGCCGTCCTCAGGTGAAGAACAGGTGTGTCGGGAAGACAGCGTCTGTGGCCGAAACGTCGTGAGATTTATTTTATTATGTTTTATTTTTATTATTTCCCTTCTACGTGATGACTTTACCGAAAGAACCAAGAAGATGAATCCCTGCAGTCACGAATGCTTTAAATCGAAATCTACGTGACTTTACCGAAAGAACTAAAGAGTATGGATTCTGTAATACTTAAAAAATCATATATGTTTATTAAAACACATTTTTGTGTTATGATAATTTTAATGAATGTACCGTCTTATTTGTTTAAGGTAATTAATTAAAAATATAGTTTTTTTCGTAGGCAAATATCATCCGTGAAATTTGCTGTTCACGAACATGTCCAGAACATATCCGTCATGAATAACGAGGGAATACATGTGCATATTAATGTTCCACACAACATGAAACATGTTCTTAATATAACCTTTTGTTGTAGCAATGCTGTTTTAGGTTTCTTACACCTGAAAAAACCTACCTCTTAAGTTGTGTTCATACCAGAATCTAACAGTCCCTCACCATGTACATAATTGACCAAATATGGGGAGTATTATATTCTTGGTTCTTTCGGTAAAGTCACGTCGAAGGGAAATAATAAAATAATACAAATTAAACAATAAAATTGTTTATAGTTTTATTTTTATCATTTTATTATTTCCCTTCTACATGACTTTACCGAAATAACCACGAATATGAATTTAATTTGAAATCTGTTCCTACCACCAGGTAAAATAATGGTTAAACTTACCTAACACCATATCCATTACATTTTGAACGCTCCAAATTAATCCATCCTGTCACACATGAATTACCAGTGTCATTTCTATGTAATGCACCTTGAACGAGTACAATGGCATCGGAATCAAATGGAAGCTCTGCTGTCATCAGGACAGAGCTGTTTAACGAGATGCTGTATCTGTGTGGTGTATCCCGTCAGAATATTAACTACGTTAACTTTAAATTTCGATTTAAAGCTTTCGTTACTGCAGGGATTCATCTTCTTGGTTCTTTCGGTAAAGTCACGTAGAAGGGAAATAATAAAATAATAAAAATAAAACATACGGACGCTGTCTTTCCGACAGCCCTGTTCTTCACCTGAGGACGGCTGCTTGCGTTGTGGCCGAAACGTCGTGAGAATTGTGTTTTATTATGTTTTATTTTTATTATTTTATTATTTCCCTTCTACGTGACTTTACGCTAACTTCACTTTTTATCCCACTTCCAACAGCAATATGGAAAGCTTCCATTTGTTGCCTCTGAAGAAGAAGTCACTCTTCTCGTTTCAAAACATGGCATCAAAATGATTGCTGCAGATCACTTGGTGAGTAAATAGTTGACGTCCTACCATTTACCGTCTTGCAAATCAGAAAATGTCTCGCAACATATTTGAAAAGCACATCACCTGTATTGTTTAGGTTAATCTTTCACTCTTTTGATGTAAAAAAAAATACGTATCAAGGCTTTATTTTTTCGTAATTACATCTATTACCACCGAAACGATTATTTTATTTACACGTTTAGATAATGCATTGCTACAATTGTACAATAATATCCTGGGGAATCCTGCATTAGAAATCTGTGTACATACACAAATCTGCAGTCAGTCCACCATGCAGAGGTCCTGTGGGTTGGGACTGAACAGCCTTGAGATTCGTGCAATTTTCCTTGCATTTTTCCCACACTGGCTAAAGAGCTTTATGAGGCTAATGCTGTTCGAGTGTGGACACAAGTTAAGGGAATTAGCAAGGCAAAGCTACATTTCAGTTGATTATGTATGCTTTGTTGCATCATGTGTGCCAACTGGGAAGAGAAAGCACTGGTGGTATGAAATAGTTTTCACCTCAAACATTTTAAGATTTTGGCTGTGGCCCATCGTGAAAGTGAACTGTAATTTGGACCCATTGCCGGTGGCCACTTATCCATAAACGTCACGACATCTTGAGCCTGTGCACAGTTTACCCGAATTGTGCAGAGAACCGTGATGTATTTATTTGTTGTCGTTTTTTGCAGGACGTGCTCCAGCGACACCCACTCTACCTCATTGTGCTCACGGTTTGTTTTGACGATGGATTTGGCATGGGCAAGCATCTGCTCGCCCTCAAGACCGCGGAGCCACATCGCACCGAGCAGAGCCTCTGGGTTTACCAGTGCAGCAGCCTGGTACTTGCACCGACAAGGAATTTTTGCTGCCAATTACACGATGAATAGGGATAATGCACAATGCAACTATAGACGGAACACAACATTTTTTTTTTCTACATCTGTAGTATAATCTTAGGTTTCTTCGGTAAAGTCACGTAGGTAAAAAATAAAATTAACAAAATTAATAATAGATTTATTATTTTATTTATATTATTACTTTTATTAATTTTATTTTTTACCTTCGTGACTTTACCGAAGAAACCTAAAATTATGAATCCTTGCAGTCACGAAAGCTTCAAATCCAGAATCTGTAGTATAGCAGATGCACGAAGGCGGTTTGCTGCCGTAGTATAATGGTAAACTTCTCGGACTTGCAATCCAGCAGTCGTCGGCTCAATTTGATCTCCTGGCACAGTGATGAAAAAAAAAGCTTCTTTAATCCTCCCGCCTCCATCCACCATTAGTATAAATGAGTACACCGAAGTTGATCGGCAAGTCATGTGTGGTGGTGAAAAGTGTGGGTACTCCTACCTGAGAAAGGCCCTCTTGCCTGTAGTGAATGCCCTTCTTGCGTGGGAAAGAACTTGCAGGGCTGCACCTTTACCTTTATTTTTCATTTGTAAAGCCACCTGTGACAAACTCACCGAGAATCCATCGAATCTCGCCAGGCCTCAGAAGTTAAGCAGAGTCGCGCCTGGATAGTGCTCGGATGGGCGACTACTGTGCACATGACAGGTGCAGTAGGCGTAGTGGGCGGTCGAGGGCAGTGCAGGAAAATCCATTGTTCTGCACCCCCCCCCCACTAACCAACCCGCATTGACCAGGGTGGTGAAGTATGGTCATATATCCCTCATATTTTGCAAGACGTGGGGAGACCCTCATCCAGCAGTGGATTCAACAAAATGGGCTGTACATCTACACGCACATTCACAACAGCAGTTAATATGAGCCCTTGGATGTTTATTGAATGTTTAACTGTATTGTTTGAAAAAGTCCAATAGCTTCAAACAAACCCTCGAAACAGCAGGCTTTGAAAAAAGCAATGGTGAGCTAAAGGTTAATATTAAATTACTACCATAATGCAACCCTTTTTTAATTGAGCCATACCCGCTCTGTAACATTTCATACCAATCCTTGATTACACAAGTGCTGTCCACTTGTTTTAGCGTGTTGTTTTATCATGGCTGTCTACTAATTTTTTTTTTCATATTTCGTCCAGGATCAAGGACAAGCTATCTGCCGTGCAATGTCATCTCTGTTTGACGTGGTCCTGGGTGCAGTGAAGTCGTGAGGACATGACAAACAAGCACAACTAAATGTTGTACCTAATCACTCGCCGTCAAGATGTTTTGAAAAATGTCAACATGATCAGGATAAATTATACCGAGAATGCCGATTTGACACGGCAATTAAAATGGAAGGCACAATCTCAATGATGGTTAACTGGCCTGCAGAGGATTGTTGGATAACCCTCACCTTACAAATTGTGTGTAGGTGGTTCTTAACTGTAGCATTGTTTGTTTAACAATCACTGAACTTGGTCAAATGTAGCACTTTCCCAAAATATGAATCTACTGTACTGTAATACGATGGCACACTATTCATGTAAACACGTGATTGTATTCTTGTGCCATGTATAGACACGGATCGGCTGATATAAAATTTGTTCTGAATCTAGTATAATTGAACTTGACGGAAATTCAATCGATTTAACCTTTGGGATTTGAACTCGCACTTTTACAATTGCGAGTCATGCACTCGAACAATCGTTGTGACCAAAAGGCGTGCGGAGGCCTTTATCCAGCAGTGGATTGACAGGGCTGGATGACAGATTATATCGTCCACAAAATAAACAAGCCTATGGTTGTAAATGCTCATGAACAAATGGCTTGCCCAAGACAAAGCACAAGTCATGATTGCTTCTGTACTGGAGGCTAAGCAGGGAGAACACTGGTCAATACCTAGACTACAAAATGCCATCCGGGAATGCCAGATGACGCTGGCACATAGGAAGGCTTGCAGCCAGGCTTCTATTCATCTATATTGAGCTGATAAAAACCCTCTCGAACCAGAATCTTACAATACAATTGGTTACGGGATTTTTATTTTTAACTATTAGAGTTGCACATCGGGCAGGAATGAAGCAGTTCCTCATAATTGGATATCGCATGTAATTGTTCAGTGTTACTCGGTTCATCCTGATAACTGATTTCATGAGTATAAATGCATATGGTTGGGATAGTGTTTGGTTGATTTAATAACAAGTCACGAACAGCTCTTTGTCAATCCACTTCCGGATGAAGGTCTTCCCTGCACCATGTCGGGTGTGGGATTTATTTGACACTGTATGTTACCACGGTGGTCAAGACGAGATAGTGAAGGGGATATCCAGAACCAGTTCAAATGTCACTCGCCAATGATATTAGCCATGGCTGGGAATAAAACTCGACTCACCAGGTTCATAGTGCCTTGTGCTATGAACCCCGTTTTTTTTAAGACATATCTAACTATATTTTTTCTAAAGGGGAATTAGAAAACCAGAGCACATCATAAGTGATAAAGTTGATGCGTATTTGCGAACCTAAAACTGTTAGTTTTTACTTTGTTCTCTAAGCTTTTGATCAATGTTCATGATTGTCTTTAAAATGTATCGGTCGTTTCTTCTATCCAACCCTGTGATGTACTTGTATAAAGGAATGCATTCACAATTTGTATTATTCACATTTCATAGTTTTATACAATAATAAAAACATTTCAAGGAATGTTGAAAATTTCAATGAATTGCTTTATTTAAAATGGGTAAAACACAAGGTATAACCAAAGAGAACTAAAACAAACTCGCAAAAGTCGCCTTTCGTACGTAAAACACTTCCAATACATCCCAGTCTTACAAAACTTTAAAATGTACAAGGATGGAACTACTTATTTTTTATTCTTACGATACCAACATAGAATTGTCCTTTTCTCAGTTTTCACCAGCATCTATTGCACCACGTGGCCACAATAACAGTTTCCTTGTCATGATATCTAACTCAAGACTCCCACTTTCATTTATCATAATTATTGCTGCATATTTCCAGAAAAAAACGTTTCAATGTTCGTTTTGACATCATGCATCTCTCATATGGCATAGTCCAGTGTTAGGCTTGTTAAACACAAATCAAGTCATTTTTGTTTCACAGGCCAAACAATGGTATGCCAATGGTATGCGCCGTGTGGCAAATTCACCAATACACCAGAAACAAAGTGCCAATGCAGGAAAGCTGAGTGGGGGAGCGAGCATGCCCTTGAAACCCCATGGGATATACTCCATGCTATTGGAACATGGGAACGTTAGAAGCAAATTTATGAATAATGTTGACACGAAGACTAAAATAGAGACGTGTGATGTTTGGTAGGGAAAAAATAGATCAATATTCATAGCCTCAGGGGTGAATAACAAACCAGTGCAATAGACTTGGTAAAATATGCAAAAGCATTTGGCAACATCTGATTGACAAATAAACATGAAATGTGGTAGACTACGAACAATATGTAACACGGTAGATGATTTTTCATACAGTTTGTAAACTTTACATCAAGTTATTTTTTTTTATTCATAAGAACGTGTAACAAGCTTGTTGCATATAGACATTAAATTCAGCAAACTTTACATTAAAGCCCGTTGACAGTAACCTTGCAAATGGTGACCTCTTATTTTTGCATACCTTTGTATGCAATATGAGGGCTGGTCAAAAAGTCTATGGAAGGATTTTATTCAATTAAAGATATGATTAGAAAAAACACGCTCTCTGAACCCCTTCAAGGTTTGGTTCTTTCGGTAAATTCACGCAGATAGAAAAATAATAAAGTGAATTTAAAAAATTATAAAAATAATTAATGTTTTCTGAAGCCCCGCCCTTTGCTCTTGTGCCACGCCCAGTTTTGAAACCTTTATCAGCGGTTGCCTGAGGTGACCATCTCTCTCTTTCCTCCTGAAGTCGATCGCCTGTGTTGTGATCGAAACGTCGTGGTTTTTGTTATTTTATTACTGAAAGAACCAAGAATAAGTCTACATTATAGACTGCCAGTACACTCACTCAGGTTAAGAACCAGGCTACAGTCTACATTATAAAATGCCAATACGCTCACCAAGCTTAATAACCATTGCTACAGTCTACATTATAGAATGCCAATTCGCCCACTCCGATTAAGAACCAGGTTACAGTATACATTCATGTTTTTGATTTTATTTTAATCATTTTTATTCTTATTCACTTTATTTATATTATTATTTTTCTATCTACGTGACTTCACCGAAAGATCCAAAAAATATGAATTCCTGCAGTCACGAAAGTTTAGTCAAATTTTAACCCTACAAAGTACTGTCCACAAAGTCACAGGAATTAGTGGACAAATCGCACAAGCAGAACATTTTGGTACGAGTTTGGCACCTTGTGGGTTATCGTGGAGAGTGACCAACAATGCAACATCAAATTTCCTGTTACCGGTAGGAACCTCCTGGTTACACCAGCCCACAGGGGATTATTGTGTCCGTCCGTCGTGCATCAAAAAATGGGAGGGGTGGAGCTGGGTGGAGAGGGGAGGGTGGGGAGGGGCTGGGTGGGGAGAGTGGGGCTGGGTGGGAGGGGTGGCGCTGGGTGGGGAGGGGCTGGTCACCCCGTGGTGCCCTTATAAAACTCAACGTTTAACCTACTCACGCCGGCTTGTGCCCGCCCTCACAGTCGGGCATATTTGCGGAATACACCACGCCGCCGTTGACCCTGGCCATTGACCGAACAACCCAACGTTCCTACCAGCTCCATCCGCAGGAATGTGTTAAATTTGGCAAGTCTGCTCCTACTGAAACTCTCCCCATGTTACAACAACTTATACAGATTGCAATGTACTCACTTTGAACGGAACTATTTTAAAAAGATAATGACAAACTTAATGCAAATGTGATTAGGCAAATGAGAGGCTTCAGCTACAGACTCAGTTAAGCTGCGTAATTACTGGCACAAGATGCATCGATGGCAGAATAAGATTGCTTTGAAGGGGGCATTCGAAATTAATCGCTGAACTGTATTCGATGTAACAGCATCATTCCAATAATCCTTTTGACCAGTCATTGCACATCAGTGCATATTTGTAATGTATGTGCAATTTGTGTGTGTGTATACTGGATGACAAAGACAAAGCGATTCCCATGTTAGTCTTATTAACTCTCGTTGGCAATTGCTGTTCGCAAGGAACAATTTCGGCATGTTTCCCCACTGGTGTTCTGAATGGCTACTACGATTCAAACACAGGTCGCCAGGATTGTAATAGAGAATGGCAACGAATGCACCCTGCCCTAGACCCTTTCCCCTACACGTAATGGGAGGGTATACATATCTACACAAAGCCCGGTAATTAGGATTAATATATGCGGCATGTCAACCCACTGCGCTGTGCCTTCCATCTTCAAAAAAAGGAGATGGAATTCAGACTGACAGTTTACGAAAACCTTAAAAAGGCATATTCCAGTTTTCGCTAAGAACTGCACATCACAAGTGGCATTAGGCCTTGACTAGGTCAACTAAACACTGGCGCACAAAAAGCACCAAAGAGCTAAGAGCCAAGTGATTGTTTGACTAAAATGAGAATCTTTGCCTTTACGTTTTTACAATTGTACATGCATATGTATACTGTGTGTGTGCTGTATATATGTGGGTATGCTTATATATGTCTACATAAATGTATGTACACACATTTATTATAAATTAGCTATTTCCTTTTCTAGAGACCCCAGGACTCCTTTGTTAAAAAAAAACCTGCATATCTCAATGCCCTTACCTGGTTCACCGAGAGATAAAAGACGCACAATGAATACCAAGCAACACCAATTGCTACGTTCAATGCTATCGCTATCATAAATTATGTTCTTTGTTTAATACATAAATGGACCTCAGAGTAGAGTGGTCAAGTCAAACTGTTGTTGTTTACACTTGGTTTACACGTAGGCTTTCGCGACCAATATCATCCATAATACATTTTTTTTGGGTTAGATCGTGTATAAATATATAAAAGCGTCGTTAAACCCGCCACCACCCGAAACAGCCAATTAGTAAGGTTTGTCACGTAAGCAAAACGTGTCAATTCGTTAGTAGTACAGCACACCGGTGTGTTGGAGAGCAAAGCCACAACATTTATGAATCCCCCCCCACTTCACGCAAGAAGGGGACACAGATGACGACATCACATCTACCCCTCTATTTAAGGAACGAAACGGGAGGATTTCTCCACAAATCTGGCCGTCGGCTGATGACGCTAGTTGTAATTTACTGGTGAAACGCCGTACTCAGATTGTAAATGTTGTAGCTTTGCTCTCCAACACACCGGTGTGCTGTACTACGAATTGGCATGTTCTGTTTACGTGACAAACCTCACTAATTAGCTATGTCAGGTGGTGGCGGGTTTAACGACACTTTTATATATTTACGTGATCCAACCCAAAAAAAAAACTGTATCATGGATTATTTACACTTGTAAACAAATACTGTGCTGCGGATGCATAAGAAGCCTTGCCTGCATTTAAAACCAACAAGGCAAGTGCCATCATATTAAAAAACTAACTACGGAAACTATTATTCCCAGCTTATTTCTAACATAAAGGTCAAGACTAACGTTCATAACAATAAGTGCAAAGGCTTTCCAATATTTTCCTTCAATTCATAATGAAAATATAAGTGCAAGTACTTGGCAGAGTAACCAACCGAAGAAGTCTGGTTCGCAACTCGCATTCCACATGACACACATGGGTACATCGTTACAAATCCCTAATGCTCCTTTCATTTTTCTTAAGGCAGACACTCATCTGGGAATACTTGTGACTCGTACATGAAAGCCAGTTGCACAAGTGATTTAGTATTGTTTTATGCCTCCAAAACACCCACCAAGTTTCAGCTGAAACAAGGGTAACATTTTCATAATCCTCACTTGGGTAAAAGGCTTTGTACCGTTAGTAAATTCCCCTATGGTTACTTTCATCCACAAGGAAAATAAATTGATTTTGAGCTTAACAAAAAAAAACTACAAAAAAAGAGATGCCAAGAGTTCGGAATGATGACAAAATCCTGAGTGCACCAAGTTACTCCGCATTTCCTTGTAAGCGATACGGCGTCTTGGAATTGTAACAAACACCAAAGTGCCTACATTCTGGCAAAGAGGCAGGCTCAATCGGTCAGTTGCTCGATGAAGGAAACCGGGAAGGCGCCACGTCTCGCCGGAACGCCCTCGACGTAGCCGTGCTGCAGAAGAGAAAACAACAATAATCATCACGATTCAAACTTATAAGCCACCCCTTAAGCAATGGTCTTTAGAGTGTCAGGCATATAAAGGGAGGAAAAGCAAGTGAGAAGTAACCGTGGAGACAAAGAGAGAAGGTGGAGAGTTCTTCAGCCAGGAATTAAAATCTCCATCGCCTGCGAGTTCCTGATCTCCAAGGACGAAATTCTAGAGCCTGGACACCGTATGGACAAAAGCTCCGGTGGTCAGACCCAGGTTCGAAGCCTGGAGCTCGCGCTGAGTAGGGCACGATCGGTAAATCTCAGGCATCTCAGTGCAGTGTGTTGTTGGTTAGTGGAGTGTGTGGCTGGTGAGTGGAGTGTGTGGCTGGTGAGTGGAGTGTGTGGTTGGTAAGTGGAGTATGTGGTTGGATAGCAGAGTGTGTGGCCGGTTAGTGGAGTGTGTGGCTGGTGAGTGGAGTGTGTGGCTGGTGAGTGAAGTACGTGGTTGGATAGCAGAGTGTGTGGCTGGTGAGTGGAGTGTGTGCGGTTGAATCACCTCCTGGATGTAGGGTGGAGCAAGCCCATTTAAAGCCATGTTTGAACACAAGAATGATAATCTTAAACTCATTGTGGATTTGAAGTGGAAGTCATTGCAGAAAAATAAGCAAAGCTGTGAGTTATGGTTCCGAAGAGGAGTGCAGGCAAGCACCCTGGCAGCCGCATATTGGACAGGCTGCATTCTGTAACACTAAAATAAGTGTCAGAAGATATTTAAAGACTGCGTATGCAGTATTACACAATGCAATGCATGTTTGTAGAGCTGGGCTATCTAATTATTCAAGGAAAAAAAAATACTCCTACCGATTATCAATTCGATTACAAGACCAATTGGACGATCCAAATATATATGGAATAAAATGTCTCCCCTCTGTTCCAAGGTGTGCCACTGGATGAGAGGTGATGGGCAGGGCTTGGAGACATAGGCATCATCTTCCACATCATGCTGCGCGTGACTTGTAGGGTCTCGGGTAATCGACGACAATTTTAAGTCAATGAATCGATGGAAATTATGAATCATCCCAGCTTAACAATTTATATTTTTTTAAAGCATACAAATGTGACTGCATTTTGAATCACTGCAGAAAATAGGAGAACATGCTCATATGCAGTTTCAAGAGGGATACTACTTTATGAGTTCAGGGAACGATTGGAAGAATTGTATATGGCAAAGGGAAATGAGAGAAAGTTATTATTGTGGAGGTGTGTATGACAACACTTTGTAGAGAGGAGCAGTCTAGAGCCTGAGCTTGAATACATGGAGGCGCTCAGGAGTGTGGGCAGCCACGCAAAGGTAATTCCAGACATTGAGAGCAGCAACTGAGAACCAGTGACTACACTGCAGAAAGCAGTGACCACTAGAAAAATAAAAACATCAGCCAGTCTACATCAGAACTGAGCCAATCAGCAACACCAGCAGCAGCAGCCAACAATGCTACATAATCAGTCGACAAAGTGAGCAGCTTAATTCAGTTCCTGATGAAACCCCCACCACATGGAGCGAAAGGACATCATGCCCAACAACATGCAGAAAAAAGCCCGAAAACCCATCGGAGAGCTACAGAGCACAACTGCAAAAAACACATGCAACGGTAGAGACAGCACTACACCAAACACCACGGAATGCTAGCAATGAATGATAGAACTAGTAGACAAATTTTGTTGCACCAGGGGCTTAATACTGGCAGACACACTGCCTCCTCCTCGTCCAACATGAACGCGCATCTCCACTTAGCACATCCATGCCAAGAACTAGCATGGATGTATTAATTCCAAATAGGTAATTTGTGAACAAACAGCCATATTTAATATTAAGAGTAATGTTGAGCCCTTTGCCAAGCTACGGCTGGATGAATATCTCTTCATGCCATGGCATACTTCTCCATGCTGATAAGAGGCGGGTTGGTAAAAGTGAGAGCCAGAACCAGGACTGGTTCTGACACCATCCGTCACTGTTGTTAGCTATGGCCGGGAATCAGACTAATGTCGCTGGGTTAACAGCAACATTGCTGCCCGCTGCAGTTACTCGTATTCTATAAGAAATGGACCAAATGCAAATATCACAAAAAAAAATGTATCCAATTAAAATATAAGAAAACATGCACGCAAGTAATTTTACACTACTAAAGCATCACATTCTTTGTTCTTCCCTGCCATGCCATTGATTTCATGGTTCAAATATTAGAATGCTGCTAACACATCAAAGCAAATAACCAATTACAGTGTCACTGGAGTGCTTTTAAAATTCAATTTCACTGCTGTTACAGAGACAGGGTACTACTTGCTGCCACAGAACTTTATCTCAAGATTCATATGCGTGGATACGTGCTCGAGCTAGGCAAACTGGCTATTTCTGAAAAAAATCTGCCGAGAGGATTACGCAGGCGATGGCATATATGACATACAATCATGTGGTAATTTGTTGTTCTACTGCTTGCGAAGATGTGGCCAAAAATGGATGGTTTGCATGGGATGCTGCCGTGCTATAACGGTTAGCATACTGCACTTCCAATCCAGGGGCTTCGCGGTTCGATCTTCTGAATGGCAGTGGAAACAATGGGCAGGTTTCTTAAATTCCCCCGGCCTTTGTCCATCTGGCAGAATAAATGGGTACTCCATACACCAGTTAGTCGATTTCGCAGGTCACGTGTCCTTGAGTAAAATGTGGGCACTCCCGCAACTTCTGAAATAGTTTTACTTTATCAGGTTAAGCCCAGAGCTATAAAGCTCTTCTTCAGAAGTGGCCTAGCCACAAATGATAGCTCAACGAAGTGGCTTATCATGTGGAAATGTATAGCAGCCAAATACTCCAAATGCATGTTTCTAAATATAGAGGGAATAACCAGAAGACCCCGAGAAAAATCCACACAACCACGTGGAGAACATGGAAACTCCAAATTTACAGACGTCAGTGTTGGGATCGAACCCACGACCTTCCGCATACCAGGCGAGGTCGTTAACATTTCGTGACTGTGGCGTGAGCGACTTACCCACCACTCGTCGTCTTCCTCCCGTTCTACCACGATGGTGTCTCCTTTCATAAAAGTGAGTTCGTCCTTTTGGTCCGCCTGGCAGTCATATTTGGCCTTGACCCGTTTAATCTTCGGCTTCATCTGTCGTCCCACCAGGGCAAAGGGGATTCACAAAATTAACCACAGACATATCATGTAACCTTGCTTTTGCTGTGCAACGCCTACGCTTAAACGAGACCCAGTAAAAGCCACATCTCTCAACCATTTGCCACCAATTAAATTTCTTGTCTCAGGAGTCTTTATAATTCCCTTATTCATTTGCCAACTTACGTATAAGAACAGGAGAATCTCTTTTTTTACGTATGGAAAGTTGCACGTATAAAAAATGTGATTTATAATGTGGCAAAACATGCATACTATTTTGTCGACATTAGTCTTGTTTAATTTCACACAGTGCATAAGCAAATTGATTTCGGGGATGTGATGGATAGTCTCTTACCAAAGGTGGCTTTCTGGGCAGAGGCACCGGGGGACGATGCGGCATTTCCTGTGGCTTTGGAGGCAAAGGCGGATGAGGCCTGGGCCGGGAAATTGGTTCCCGTGAGACTTTAGACCCATCCACCACCCCACTCTCCACAGCTGCACAGACAACCATGACGAAAGCACGTTGGGACGGCGAGACCAGAAATCACCACAGCCGGCAAACGATTGTGTTACATGAGCCGAGCAGGTAAAACCTCACGATATGCAATCAATTACAATTGTTTCGATTTAAAGCTTTCGTGACTGCAGGGATTCATCTTCTTGGTTCTTTTGGTAAAGTCACGTAGAAGGGAAATAATAAAATAATGTTTCGATTTAAAGCTTTCGTGACTGCAGGGATTCATCTTCTTGGTTCTTTTGGTAAAGTCACGTAGAAGGGAAGTAATAAAATAATAAAAATAAAACATCATAAAATAATTCTCACGACGTTTCAGCCACAACGCAAGCAGCCGTCCTCAGGTGAAGACCAGGTCTGTCGGGAAGACAGCGTCATTCAGACGCTGTCTGAAACGTCGTGAGAATTATTTTATCATGTTTTATTTTTATTATTTTATTATTTCCCTTCTACGTGACTTTACCGAAAAAACCAAGAAGAACAATTACATATGCTAAAAGTGCAGACCTGAAATGTCTTACTCACACTACTGCTAGAGGAAGGACCTCCGCCAGAGGAAGCTGCAGAGAGCTTCTCTAGCGGATATTTTGGTCTACTCTTGCATGCTAACCAGACATATTGGCAAGGTGGATGAGCCCACACTTTACCCCGCCCCATGCAACTTAACGATCGACCGCTGGGGTAGCCATTTACGCAGCTGGGTAGACAAGAGGCGGGCGGGGGGGGGCGGGGGTTTAAGAAACCTTCACCATTGCTTCGACTGCCTCGCCACTGGAAAACTTCACGCAGGGACAAAATATGTGTAGCATGGTAATGGCACGAGCACAATACTGGCACATGTCAGAAGGCGGGGAATTTGTGGAAATACTGCTGGGGGATGTTGGTCTATAATTATGTTGTAATGCAAGTGCCAGCCAGAGGAATGCGTGGAAGGTACACATAGCAGTTTAACAGAGCAGCTTGGATTATGCAAATGAAATCAAACTCTCAAAAGGTAGCAAATCCAAATTGCTGGTTAACACTGAAACACACTCCGTGAGGAGGTAATCCCGTGGAAGTCATTAAAGTCTTAAAGTTTACCCTGCCCACAAACAACATGTAATTATATTACATTTTGTGATTCAGTTTTTATAGCCGTGACTATGTCTGCATATGCCGTTTAATTGTGTATTGCATTAAACGTAGGCTTTTGCTGTTCTTGTGGTAGTTGTGCTCAACCGACAGCGAACGTTGCTCTACAAGCGTAGCCGCTCTCTCAGCGCAGAAATCAATGGCTCAACGAACCGCAGTTGTCTGGAGGGCTCGGGGGAGCAGGACGGGGTCTTTGTGTAGAAGGTCTCCGTGCCAAAGCTGCGTTCTCCACACTGAAAGGCGCGCACGCAACACACGACATGCTAATTGTCCAGCGGCATCACTGCAGGGTCCCATGAAAGAGTCATGTGACCTTGGCTCCATCATTCATGACAAGCTGGGGATAAACGCGAATACAATATTTTTTGCATTGACAGAAATGTACCTCCTCCACTTTCTAAATTCCTTCTCTTTGTCTAAAATAAGTGTACACGTCTTTTGTAAATAGGGAAGAAAACGCATACACATATATTGCACGTTTTTGCATACTGAACAAATTAGAGTTTGGCATGTCATATACCACAGCAGTATATGTCTTTGTGATTGTACTTTTGATTCCCGCTCATGGCCGACAACAGTAGCGAGTACCTGAACCAGTCCTGGGCCTCCCCTACGTCAACTCGGCCTCAAATGAGTACCTGGTGCACTGTGTAAACATCGTCACTGGGGAGATAAAGGTGTCCGGGCGTGGTGCTGGCTATCCACCCCGTGTACAGTGCCGGTCTTCATAGGTGCTCACTCACAGAACTTGCCTAAAATGTCTGTTAAGGCTAAAGGGAAATATTTGTATTGTCTTGAACATTCATGCTAATTAATTAGAAATTTTAACTTAAAAGTAGCTGCTTGCTTTCAAGTTATAAACACTAATAGCCTGTACTGCATCCAATTTTATCCTAGTTACAATAAAAAATGAAAATCATGAGTTTCTTATGTGAAACAATGCCTTTTCAAATTAATCAAAATTAGCGAACTGAAAAAAATAGTCACGTATAAAAGTTTGCACAATAATTGTAGATGTCTAACATTTATTTGAATAACATCATTATTGGGCTTCATCAAGAACCTATTGTCAACATACGCTTTGGTTCTTTCGGTAAAGTCACGTAGCTAGAAATAAAATAAAAATAAAACAAATCACGACGTTTCGTTTGCAACACAAGCAATCTTCATCAGGTTATTGTCAACAGTTTACTATTTAGCCATTATATTCCTTCATTATAACTGCAAGCCACGTGAGCCAGTCAGTCGACCATGGTTTATTTTGTCTAAATTTGCGTAATGCAAGATTTACGTTTAACCACAACAAAATATAATGAGCGTGGTTTTATGCACCCTGTGATTGAAGTGAAAATGCACCCTCTGCTGTTGAGAGATTTCTGGTAAGGTTGTTTTCTTAAACAATGACAAAATCACAGTACTAATTTAATTTTTTTACCTTTCTTGCAATCCTGCCGGAAGATTCTTTGTTTGTGGGAATGATTTCCTGCCACTCTCTGTGAAGGGAAATTTATAAGTCGTAAAAAAAAGGAACAGATTTTTTCCGATTATTTCTATGTATTTTGCAAGGCATCTTGACCTTCAGGAAAAGATCCAACAACAGTATAAACGGCATCTTTAGTCTTGCACAAAACAATGCAACTTCTACAATGAAATATCACAACACCGTGCATCTGTTAAAAAAGATAGTCACGCCATCTCTTCGGCTGATAAAAAAAAGTCTAGAAAAGTTTACTTCTTGCTGGGCATAATCTTCACCTCTTCACTGTTGGGAATTTTTTTTTTTTCCAAACATCATTCTGCCTGCCACTTTCATAATTTAAGCACAGCATGTCCGCAAATAACTGTGTTTATCTCTGCTTGTCCCCTCTGCTTGTCCCCTACCTATGAATGAACCGCCATCACAATTGCACAGCATTTACAGTGGCACCACCATCATTGCATCCACAACGCGAAAGCTAAAAATTGTACCTACTCTCTGCCCCGTCCCACTTACTGGACAGTATGGGAGAGATGTGGGGAAGAGGAGGAATGGGAGGTGGGGTGCTGTTTCTCAGCTGGCTGGGGCCAAAGGGCTCGGAGTGCGTCCGCTTGTGCAGGGGCCTGTTTGGAGGTGGCGGCGGGGGCTTGCGCCTGCCGCCAGGACCGTCCGCCGAGCCCGGAGACGCTGCCGAAAACACAAGAGGCGGAAGGGGGTCGTGAGTTGAAAACACTCGTCGTTTATCATTTCAAAGCACGCCCCCTCCCCAGTGCACAACGCACATGGTTCAGAGGTCAGCGTTTATTTTATTTTTTTGCAGCCAAATCAGTCCTCCAGTAAAATGTTACGATTGAGTTTGCTCACACAGTGAACAGTTCAAATGACCCTATGGTTATGAAAAATATATATGTCGCAAGGAGCATTGCTCATGGCTAATGCCTATTTGAGCAATGCACCTTGTGACCTGTGGTGGAAATTCCTTATTTCCATGGCAGGTGCGAGTCTATCCAAGAGACAATCATTGTTGACTTACCCACAAAGCCATTCCCATTCTATCCACCTTGGAGGGATAACGATGACGATGATGGGCTGAGTCAACCCTGAACCAAGATTTGAACTCACAACCTTCCAATTGCAAGCCACTCCCTCTATGGCTCAGCCACCTGGATGGCGATAACAAATATGTTAAATTATATTTAACAAAATCAGTTTTACATGGCGAAGTAGCCGCGTCCATGGTGACCGGGGACCCGTAAATATGTAATGAGATTGCAATTCACACCACAATTGTGTCCTAAACAAAGTAATATTTCAAAATGTAGACGTATCATAATACTGAGTACTGGACTGAGGAATAACAAGTGTAAAAAAAATGTAATGACTGCACTTATAAGCTAAATTATACTGTTATTTTCCATCCCTGAGTGTTGTTTTTTTTGTCCATTCCTAAAGGTGTGATTTTAAGACATTTATAACAAAAATAGATTACATTTTTTAGATTAAATGTTTTTTATATATGATTCAAAACCACCTGAGGCAACACATTGCAACGGGATGGTTTCTGGTATAAGAGCCATGGTTTTTCATATTCTCGCCATGCTTTGAAGGATCACAGGTCAAAGTATAAGCCAATTAAATAGTTGAGTTTACAAGGCAGCGCTGTTAATGGCAATGGTGATAAAATGTAATTGGTAACATGTGCAGTCTCGACTCTGCCTCAGTAGGGTTCACAGGTGTTGCTAATGATTAATAGAAAAGTTAATTTTGTAATTTTTCTTAATGAACTCCTGGTGGCGCCACCTTTTCATATAAAATTACAAAACAGTGCAGGACCTTGGCAAACATACTTCATAAGCAAGATTAGTCATCTTCTTGGTTCTTTCGGTAAAGTCACGTAGAAGGGAAATAATTAAATAATAAAAATAAAACATAATAAAATAATTCTCACGACGTTTCAGCCACAACGCAAGCAGCCGTCCTCAGGTGAAGAACAGGTCTGTCAAAAAGACAGACGCTGTCTGAAGAACAGGTCTGCCTGAAACAGACACTGTCTTTCCGACAGACCTGTTCTTCACCTGAGGACGGCTGCTTGCGTTGTGGCCGAAACGTCGTGAGAATATTTTATTATGTTTTATTTTTATTATTTTATTATTTCCCTTCTACGTGACTTTACCGAAAGAAGCAAGAAGATGAATTCCTGCAGTCACGAAAGCTTTAAATCGAAATACAAGATAAGTCAATTTACCTGCTGTGATACTAAATGCAATTTAACAATGCATTTTTTAAGTGAGGCCCAACACGTTTTTAGTTTTTTGTTTCGATAAGGTCTTCTCACCATTTACAGATTGGATTTCTCTGAGTTGAGTTGCACAGCGCTCTGAACCCATGCTGTGTTTGAACTGATGCTGCGTTTCAGCTGCCACCTTGTGGTGGCTGTGCTGAAGTGAATGTTGGCCGTCGGACACGTCAATGCCAGCGGGGATAATTGAAATCTTTTAGCAGTGTTGCGCATGTATGTATGTTGTAAGTAACTTCCTTCGCACCGTACCTAAACCAACTGATAATCGAAAGTGCCATCATATGGAAACTCGTTGACACGTCTTACAAATAAAGATCCATGCTCATCGTATAATCCACTTTGCTAAATATTGACGTGTTGTGAATTATCAGGGCTCGTTTAAATGATTTTATCTCCTGACAAAATATTTCTGAAACTCAATAATAAAGTTCTACGTAGCTATTACCCATTAAATTAGCATTTTAAAAATGTCCTTTGGAGTAATTGGTTCCATGACATCATAATTTACGCAATATACTCCTTATTTATTTATTTTGAGTGTAACTGGAAGCATGCGCGCTTTACTTAACTTTTTAGATTGTAACAATTAAAAGGACCCAAGTTGAGTGAAATGTAGCTTTAGAACTTTTGCTTGACCTCTTTATTTGTACTGGAAGTTCAAACAATCTACATGACACTGACATGGCGCTCAGCACTGCTCTTGTGTTTACTTTGTGGTCCTTCCCCCACACCTCTGATTAGCAGTTGGCTACGTACGGTGCAAAAGAAGTTCAACATACAAACATAAAATCGTGAAAATGTACACGTGATCACATCGTATCATGAACAATTATATCACGGCAACATGCCATGTCAGTCATGTGAACAGCTGGTACTCGTAATTGAATAAATGAACCTTATGGCGGGACCCCGGGGTGCAATAAGCCCCCGGTTTTCGCATAAACTGCGTTGTGACGTCATTGTATGTCTGTTGAAGGCGAACGATATGGCAATCTATTCCTCTTGATGAGCTCTACACGATGCGATAATCCGATTTTAGAAGTTTTGTTTCTTCTGCGCATTCGACCTCGCTGTGCTTGGATGACATGACAACAGAATGATCTGCACCAGGCGGGTCGCGACGTTTATGTGCGCGGCGGGACAGAGTCGCCAAATAGAGGGTGAGAGCTAGAGCAGAATGAACGGTATTTCTGTTTAAGTTTTCATTTGCCTTTAAAGTTTGTTTAACATCAGTGGTGGTACTATCCAATTGGGGACCCTAAGCATACAGTATTTGTGCCCCCCCCGCCCGTTTTAATTTAGAACATGCTATAGATGATAGAAGAAATATAGACAAGAGATAGAGACGTAGTGTGATAAGAGAAATGCAGACAAAAATAGGCATGCAGTGAGATGAGAAAAGAGATGCAGACAAGATATAGATGAGAGATTAATTTGGTGTATGTCAATTACGATGAAGAAAATATAGGTTGATTAGCATTTGAATTTGAGCTCATATTTGATGCACTAATTTATTTCATGAATTCAGGAACCCCTGGACTGATTGGGGCTCTCGATGCATTTGCTTGCTTCGCTTCGGCTGAGTGCCGTCGCTTTTTAACACCGACTGCCGTTGTACCCCACTTCGGTTCAGAATCAGAATCTTTATGTAGACTGGAGGAATCCGATGAGCTACGAAGCCCTTTTTCACAGATATCCAGTTTCTGCTTGTCTCCCCCCCGCCCCAACCCCCTCGACACTTTCAACGACGTCACGCTCCGTGGCTGCCAAAGAGTAACACCGCGAGAGTGCCGAGAAAGATTTCTGTCGCGAGTAAGCGAGCAATATTGAGAGAGCAGGCGAGGCCTGCTAGGGGGAGCGCCGTGCCTTTACCCATCGCTAGTTTTCTCGAGCCCCCCGGCGAGGACGGCGTGGGGATGTCGGCGACACGGCTCGCTGCGAGGACTGCGGGGGCGGCCGCGGTGTTCACGTCCTGAGTGCTGTATCCGGCAGGCAGGGTCAGCCTCCTCTTGGCAGCCTTTTGGCTCTCGTGCTCGGAGCTCACTTGGGACTGCCCTTGTGATGCAGCTGGTGGGTCGGATGTTTCGGGCGGGCTGGAGAAACGTAATAAACAAAAAAAATTAACCCGTAAAAACAAAGTTTTTCCACTATAAATCCTTTATATGCGTGGCATCGGTTTTATTTAATTATTCATTTCTGTTTTTTCTTGAGTAAGAGTTTCGTTTTTATCACATTGGTATTTTAAATTAAATATGAAAAAATGTTTTTCCTAAAAAGTGGAAAATTTTGGGGAAAAAATTCACGAAAATAAATTGTCACGCACAACGAGTCTGTGTGCAAAATGTCAGCTCGATTGGATCACGGGAAGTGGGTTAAAAAACGACCGAAAGATTTGCACGGTCCTAAGCAAGCAAGCGAACTTAATATAAAGGATTTAAAAACGAAGAGACCGCTGCGGCGGAATGAACGTCCCGTCGTCGATGGTCCGTCTCGCTCGTGCCGCGTGTCGTCGTTCGGGTATGGCCTCCCCGACGTTTCGCTCGCACGTGGCGCTTCGGGGAAAGTAAATGGCGAAGCGTCCGGCCCGCGCGGCGAAGCGTCAGGACATCGCGCTGGACAACGCCGCGGCACGATCGGCAAACGCACGCCGGAGAGCTATGCAGCACTACCGCAAAAAAAAAAAACCTACACAGTCTGTCTTTAATATAAAGGGAGTAATGGATTCAGAATGAGATATGTAATGGCCCAGGAACTACGTGCTTGATATTATACACATGGGGCAGTCAAATCGCCAGATTCATAAATAATACACTTTTCAATTAAATCACATACATTCTATGAAAGTGCATAAAGATAAGTCATACACTATAAAACAAAGTCTACATATTTTAAATGTTACAAACTACACATGCAGCATTTAACAGACCCAAGTCATTTTTACGTGAAGTATTATTGGGATTTTAATAATAAACAATGTTAATTAAAAAAAAAAGTATGTACAACCCTTCATCAACATGGATGTAGTCATCCCCATTCTGTGCCAGTTATGGAGACTACTTTGACTACACTTCTTCACCTTGAGGGTTGGTGAAGAGGGGAGTTCTAAAATCAGTTCATACATCACATGCCACGAGACGTTAGCTCTGGCCGTAAAGTGAACGCAGGCCAGCGGGTGTATAACACAATGCGTTAACCACTGTGCCAATGCTGCAGCATGTTCAATGCAAGATATAGTACTCGGCGAAAATTTATTTTTGTAGGCCTTGCCAGCATCCACAGACAATACAAATAGGTTTTCCTTTCGGGGTGTCCACCACGCCGTGCAGAGGAAATTTCTCCAAATGGTTCCAAACCACCCCACAACCGACCAACACCTATTATGGTTTGGAGGACTCGAGGCAAGATCAAATTATATACGAGGCAAAAAAAGACACGTATATTGACATGTAGATATACTCCAGAGCAGCCCGTGCTGCAGATAATGTGACGTAACAGCGGTGTTCGATTTACTGAAATGTAATGCTAGAAAAAAATGTGTTTTTACACGTTTTCTTTTAACTCACTCTGTTGTTGTTGTCGTTGTTGTGCTCAAATCTTGTAACTCAATTTTAACCCACTTCCCAAAGTGGTATCGACTGCAAACTTGGTATACTTATGTCATACTGATGGCAAAACTATATTCTATCATAAGAAATTAAAAAAATCGATATTTTAAAACATTCTTTTTTATATCTTATGTTTCGGCTTGGGTCTAATTGTCCACGGTCAACTGACGTTGGCTGTAATTGGCCACAGTCCCTTACGTTATGGCAAGCTTCGGGGCCACTTCCTAGAGTCGTGGAGTTCTGCCATTACTAGTACATTTCATAAAAGCGTATTTTTAATTAAAATATTACTTATTACATATTTCTTGTAGATAACGATGGACAAAAATCTTCAAGAGTCAAGATGGCGGCAACTACCCGCCGCAGATCAAAGCGTGGATATGACGAGACGAAAATGAACGAGTCTGAATGAAAGAACAGACGGAGATCATTTAATACATTACTCCGAGGCCGAAGGGCACTGAGAAAGGTCACAAATGGTAATTGGCTACGTATGTATATAATCAAATGACTGGGCAGCCCTGATTTGCAGGCCTGATAATATTTATGTGGGGGGAGGGGGAGAATTTGCACGCCCCTCACACCGACATTCAATAATTAAGAGTGGACTACATTTTAACCTCTTTCGTCAACTAGACCATGAGAATGAAGGAACACACACACAATGCCTTCGCTGAAATTCTACAAGTTGTTGTCAATGAGACGAAGATGAATAAAAGAAACATAAAATATCCATAATCAACGTTTTTGGGTTTAGATCGCGTTATTTATAAATGTGTCGTAACCCTCCACCACCCGACACGGCCAATCAGTAAAAAAGTGTCACGTTGACAAAAGACAAATAGTTCACTGCTTTAGCCCACCGGTGTGTTGAAGCGTGAAACCACAACATTTACAATTTGAGTATGACGTTTCGCTGGTAATTGCATCCAGCATCATCGGGCAATTCGCCAGAATGGTGAGGCTCTGCTCTGTCTCCCGTTCCTATATAGAGCAGCAGCAGCAGGGTGACGTCATCATTAACTCATTAACTCATCAGGTGCAACGATTTGAGGGGGGGTTATTGTAATTATATACTAGATTAGTAATCAGTTGTAAATGTTGTGGTTTCACGCTTCAACACACCGGTGGGCTAAAGTAGTGAACTATTTGTCTTTTGTCAACGTGACACTTTTTTACTGATTGGCCGTGTCGGGTGGTGGAGGGTTACGACACATTTATAAATAACGTGATCTAAACCCAAAAACGTTGATTATGAATAATATTGGTCGCGAAAGCCTGCCACGTGTTAAACAAACATAAAATATGCCAACTAAATTACCACCGCGTAACACTCACAAGATTTCACCCCATGTGACCTTTACCAGCCAAGATCACCTGATACTACTCAGCAGTGAGCGCTCAAATCAGCAGGCACCACTCGACTTAGTAATTGGCTATGTGTGTATATCAAAAATCTTAACTGACATCACTGATATAAACGTGTAAGATTCAGCCACCGCTCCACCGCGTGGTGACTTGCTGAGTGTTGATTGCTTATTGTCTGGTGGGCGTCTAGGGAGAAGGCAAAGCGCAGAGGTAAAAAGATATTTTTTATTCTGGGAGCTGCACTCACGGCTGAGCTCTGTTACCTTCTCATCGAGTTCGTCTTCGCTCTCACAAAGGTCATCCTTGTCGAGCTTCCAGTTGTACTCGACGGGCGTGCGAGGGTTGAACAAGCCCTTCTCCGCCAGGGTGAGCTGCGCACAGAAAGGGGCAAGCTTGGCTAAATAATGACAATAATGACAATAATAGAGTAATGATAAATTACTACATTTAGTAGGGATGCTGCAATGGTTCTAGATTTGAAGCTTTCGTGACTGCAAGGATTCATACTCTTTGGTTTTTTCGGTAAAGTCACGTAGGTAAAAAATAAAATAAATGAAAACAAATAAATTAAATCACGACGTTCCGGGCGCTTGTGTTGCAACAAGTAAATTAAATCACGACGTTTCGGGCGCTTGTGTTGCGCCCAAAACGTCGTGATTTAATTTAGTTTTCATTTATTTTATTTTATTTTTTAACTACGTGACTTTCCCGAAAAAACCAAAGAGTATGCTGCAATGGCTTAATGGTTAACACACTCGACTTGCAACCCAGAGGTTCGATTCCATCTGTGGGGGCACAGCAGCTGAAATAATGGGCAATTTTCTTAAATTGCATGCACAGACATACACAGACACAACTGAACGTATCGTCACAGGTCATCGGTCACCATCCCAGCGCGGATTAAAAAAAACGCCCGTCTGCCCGAGCACATCCGACAGCGTGGTGTTTCATGAACATTTCTCCCTTGTCGAGAAAGACGGACAAATAATTGATATCTCTATCACAGTCCAAATTGGTTGACATACTAAGCCCAAAATAAAAGGCGACTTCACTACTACCTTTGAAGTCTCCGAAATGTACGTCAGAATTTGTGGAACGGTCCCTTGTACAGGGTCATATAAAAACTATTGAGAACGGGTCTCTGTCCAACTTTAGCAAAATAACCACAGTCAACACTGCTTGCTTTTGTCCAAATGCCAAGTATAAACTTCCTGAAGAGATGCAGTCAAGACCATGAATTGGTGGTTTTAGGGATGAGGTATTTGAGCAGGTGCCAGACTTCTAGGATTCTGCTCATTACGGTTAATGGATCACAATCAAGGAAAGTGATAATTAAGCGTTGACGTAAGATGATGCAGAGGCACTGAACGTCTCACTGGAATTTGTGAAACTAGACACAATATAATTACCAGGTCTTCACACTGTGCATTATCCATTTGTTTGGCAATGTCCAGGGCAGTTTCTCCAGCTTCATTTGCTTTAAGACAACAAAGAAATAAAGCAATTAGAAAAAACAATTATACAGTTTTTTTTTTTACATCCAAGAAAGTTTCACTGAATCTCAAGACTCTTTTCAAGAGGTTCCTGCATGAGGATATCTGACCAATTGTTTGGCATTTGGAAGGAGATGAGAGTAAAAGAGAAACCACTTGAATTCAAGGGGCGAGCATTTAAAGCTTGGCACAGATAGTCTAAATTTTACTTGGCTGGGCTGCCATCTCCTGCATGGTTCACCGACCCTAATTTGCCAAGTGCTAGATAAGAGGCATGTGCCAATATGCTCGGCTAAAACATTTAGATGCACTAATATGTGACGATACGAAAGTAGATTTTTCTTTTTCTTCAGGACAACTTCCTACATCTTTCGCCACCGATGTTAACCATGGCCGGGTCTCAAATTCAGATCGCCGAGCCAATAGAGTGGTGCACCAACCACAGTGCCACTACTCCACCCCTCTATTCACGATGTCTGTTTTAAATTCATTAAAAGAAAAACAAGAAACCACATTGATTCTTACGGCAGTGAGGATGATGTGACAGCCGAGGAGATGAAAGGGATGAGAGTGGACCAACCTCTGGGGCATTACTCACACACGTGGAGAGCAGCTTTGCTCCGTAGCAGAAGCTTGAGGCACTCAGTGGCATTGTACCGGCTGCAGTAATGCAGCGCAGTGTTCCCATTCTCCGTCTGCTTGTTTACATTTCTACTGCACACACGGAATTTCAGAAGCCCCCTCTGAGCGACGCAAGAAGTGGCACTAGGGTGGCAAATAAACAGCAATGCTCGATGCCAATTGACAATCGTAACAATAGCACGATGTGTTTTCTTGTTTGTTCATGATGGTGTATCTCGCCTGCCTAATCGTTTCACGTGCAATGTGTGTGCACCTTTCAAGAAAAAACCTGACAAAATAAAAATGTTTTTGTCCATTAGGAATTTGGGTTATATTTTATAGCATAAATAAAAAGGCTCTCGTGCCAGTGCTATGTCTCACACACATGTCTATAGTCTGCCAATAGGGGGAGACGTTGTTCCGTGGTTTGTCCCATTTAAGTAATTCACAAGTATTTTTTTTACTTGGTAAATTTTACATTATGCTGCCACATGCACAGCCCACTCTTTCAAATAATGTCACGAGACCTTTAATGTCCACTTTAAGCAGAGGCCACATATTTATGGTTAATACACCCACAGCATTATAACCGGGGCGGCCTACAGCCGACAACCGCGAACCCTTTGGAGCAAGCGGCAAATGTGGTACCACTCAGCCACGCCACAGCCACACTCCGACTGTTGCGGATGCTGTTTTTGGCTGGGGTCTGTATCTCAGTCACATGCTCAATGAGTGAAGCCATTCCATACAATCATCACAAAATATAAATTTGCGTCATTGTGCCAGAGACCTATGCCAGGCTCGAACCAAGAACATTTGCAACAAGGGGCAAACGAGCGAACGCTCGCTCATGTGACGCCGTTGAAAGGCATTCAGCATCAAAGGAGGCCGCGTTAATGTTCAGTCGTTACCAGTTGAGGATGAGAAAGTCGACAAGGTGCAGAGAGCTCCTGTCTGACTGGCGGACGGCGAAGTGCAATGCAGTCTCCCCTTTCTCCTGTTCCGTAGGAAAATAAACATGGTTTAGGGTTACCTACTAGAAGATTAATTTATAAAAAAGCAAATATGGAAAAAGAGTTATAGCTTGTAAGTTAAAATCTATATTAGGGGGATGATAGTGTTCCTGAATAAAGTCCCCTTCATCCTCAATTCAGTCGTGGTGCCAGACCATTGGGGTCTCCCTTTCAATTAATAAAATACGAGTGAGATGACAGGAGAGACATTGCCAAGAGAGAGAAATGTAGTGAAGCAAGGCAAATGTAGACATAAGCAATGTAGTGAGATGAGAACAGAGATGCAAATAAATGACTGATCAAAGAGTGTAATTCACACCTTAAATTAATTTGACTTGCTAAGTTCAGTAGCATTTCAATTTGGGATGATACATCAAACACATTTTTTTGTTTAATTCATTAATCTAGGAACCCCTGGGCTCATTGGAGCCCTAAGCATGTTGTTGTTTATGCCTCGTGCCGCCACTGCAACGGTGCCACGTCAACCTGCACGTGCGCCGCATCGAGCGGCTCCAGCAGGTCCACCCCTTCGCTGTAGACCTCGATCAGCGCAAAGACGTCCTTGGCCACGAGGGCGGCGCACAGGGCGGCCGCCTTGTCCGCGCTGGACTGCGCGCTCCGCTTCGTGTACTTGCGCTCGATGTACTTGGCGGTGATGTAAGACCGCCGCTCGTTCCTGGGGAGAGCGACCGTCATTTAGACCGATGCGTTTGTGTTAAGTTTGTTGTCCTTCCCGCCCGCGCCTCCGTTAGCGCGGTTGGCTAACGTACGGTGCGAAAGAAGGTCAACGTACATGCGTGCGTTTGTTTGGTGGCGAGTCGGAGATCTGTTCAAATGCGAATTCGAAAGGTTGATGTAACAGAAGCACTTACATGTCGCTGTCGGCTGCTGGTTTGATATCACAGTCGGTCGGCAGGTTGCTCTCAAGAATTTCATTAAACCTGTAGTTGCCCACATTTCTAGCCAGCTGGGGGGGGGGGGGGGGGGGGGGAATTACAATACATCGTGATGAACATTGTAATATGACAGAATTAAATGTATGCTTCGTGGAAATTAAAGAATTAATCAACGAATTCGATCTGTTTAGAAGTTAGAGAGATTTACAAAAACATGAGGAAAGTAAAATGCAAAGGTCAACACGTTGAGTCCAATGTTCTTTCATTGTAACGTGACAGTATCTGCATAAATATTAAGTGATTACAATTTGGTTACCAAGAGTAGTAATAATGGACGTAATGTTTCACTTAGATTCATAATGATAATACTTTACAGCCATTATCTAATCCACTGCTGGATGAAGGCCTCCCCACGTCACTGCTGGACGCAGGCCTCTCCACCCCACGCCATGTCGGCCATGGGGAATTGTAAGAACATACTTCACCAGACTGGTCAATGCGGGATGGTGAAGAGGGGAGGCATAAAACCAGTACGATAAATACATCACTCGCCACTGACATTAGCCATAGCCGGGAATCAAACTCAGGTTACAGAGTTCATAGAGCAGTGCGTTAAATGTTGCACCGCAGTTTCCCCAGTTCATCTCTGTAGTTTTCACCTCTCATTCATGTCTGTAAACACGTTCATTCCTATTGCGGAGGTGATTCTACACACGGGAAAATAACTCTAATACACGAGTCACTTCATATGCCCAGGTTATGAATTCCAAACTTTGCATTAACACCACAAATATGTGGATGTTGGAGTGTCATGCCCCAAGAGAAAACGATTACTGGGTGAAACAATGCAACACACCGGACATGAGAGTTTACAAAAAGGCAAGAACTGACACTGTTTCTCGCAAAACTGGCAAAACCAGATTCCACACAGTGAACCAAGGCATACGGTTTTAGCCCACCGTTTGTCAGGGTCTATTGGCCACATTATACCAACCTCGATAAATCACCACGAGTGGGCAGAGGTCGCAACCGGGTACCCGATACCCGTACCCTACCCGATACCCGGCTACCCGTACCCGGCCAGTTACGGGTACCCGTTTGCGACCCTGGTGCGGCCGGGTACGGGTACCCGTTTGCGACCCTGGTGCGGCCGCGTACGGGTAGGCCGTGAGTCACTGGTTAGTAAACCGTTTGTCACTCATTTCCCAACGTCTTGTCTCTTCTCACAATTCAAGTTCCTAGAATCAACCCACCCGCGCCTACAACATGGCTTCATCCCAGAAGTCGCAATCGGGTACCCGATACCCGTACCCTACCTGATACCCGGCTACCCGTACCCAGCGGGGTATCGGGTAGGGTACGGGTACCCGTTTGCGGCCCTGGTGCGGCCGGGTACGGGTACGGGTAAGGAATCAAAACCCGTTTGCGACCTCTGACGAGTGGTAACATCTTCAGTGTTTCCCCTAGACAAACTACAGATAAAATAATACAACAGGCTACGTGTGTCTACATCGTGGATAATTTCTCTCAGTTAAGCGAGCAGCAAAAATGAAAATTTACATTTTGACAGCATGTTGATGCATCATCCCTTCAACCATTTGCTAAATGTTTCATGGAAACTGAATACGGAATCTACTACTGGATGAAAGTTACCCATGGGGTACACCACAACTGACCAGGATGGTCAGTGCGTGTTGGTGAACAGGGGAACAGAGGATCAATTCAAATATTACTGGACAACAATATTCGCCATGGACAGGAATCTTCCTCGGGTAACCATACTCATGAGGTATACTAACCACTGTGCCACCACGCCACCCACTACAATATAACCATAGAACTATAAACCATTTGTATTTTACCAAGTAAGACCCACCGAATTATTGACAGCCCAACGAAGTGGCTAATCACGTGGCAATGTACAGCAGCCAAATACTCTGAACGCGTGTTTCTAAATGTCGAGGTAAAAACCGGAGGACCCGAAGAAAAACCCACGCCCCCACGGGGAGAACACGCAAAGTCCAATTATACAGCAGGCGTCAGGGTTGGGATCGAACCCAGGTGAGGTAGTTAACATCGCCATCACGGCAGCCCAATATTTTAATGAAAACATATTGCGCAACTCAAACGTCCATGTTGTCTAACTTCTACATTTATACACTTCCCTTTGTATAAGCGAGTACAAATATGTTTGTAGGAGGAACACAAATTTGAGGCTATTGCTATCATAAATGTGAAAATTCTCATCTTGAATGACTTGGGACGAAGATCTCCTTCTCCAGTTTAACCTACAGAGGCTGTCATGCAAGTGCTTTTAGCAAGCACCTGTGAAGGCCAGCACGAATCATTAGGGGGCAGAGGTCGCAAACGGGTTTTGATTCCGTACCCGGCCGCACCAGGGTCGCAAATGGGTACCCGTACCCGGCCGGGTACGGGTACCCGTTCCCTACCCGTACCCGTGCCCTACCCGAAATGAGTGACAAACGGTTATTCACCAGTGACTCACGGCCTACCCGTACCCGTACCCGGCCGCACCAGGGTCGCAAACGGCTACCCGTACCCATACCCAGCCGGGTACGGGTAGCCGGGTATCGGGTAGGGTACGGGTATCGGGTACCCGGTTGCGACCTCTGTTAGGAGGTGGCATGGGTCGCACCACACCTGACCACTTTTGTCTCCCCAATGCTGATAAGTTTCACAAACCACACCAGGCACTCATTTAAGGCTGAGTCGACGTAGGGGAGGCACAGGACCGGTTAAGATATCACTCGGCCCTGATGTTAGCCATGGCCAGGAATCAAATCTCGGGATGCTGTGTTCGTAGGGCAAGTGCGATAGCCACTGCGCTGCCAATCCCCCCCCCACACACACACACTGACATTCACACACACAGACAACAACCGCCATTCGCCACTAAGTGGCGGTGACGTCACCACGGACATTCACACACAAACACACACTCTCTCTCTCTGTACTTCAACCGTGCGAGATGAGCAAGTGGACGTACCAGCAGTTCGGCCGTGCTCAGCACATCGAGGGTGATGGACTGGATGCGGGAGACGTGCACACCCATCTCGCGATGAATCCCCGAGCATTCGATGCATGTCAAGATGCCAAGGTTGGTCGCCAGCCAGCTGGGATCTGTCGGGCAGTAGGCACAGTCGTGATCCCTTTGCCAAATGGGTTTTCAATTTAAATATGAGAACGTAGGTGACAGCCTTACAGGGATGCTGCTCTCATGCTAGAAGCATGCAGACAGAGAACATCAAGGGCATGCCACGTGTACAGTTACAACAAAACCTATTCTTTCGTCACTGCTAAATATAATAGAATGCACTATCCGCTAGGACATACGGTTCAGAAACATGGTCATAAATAAAACTGAAACGTGCACAAGAAAAATTGAAATTACACCTATTCTTTGGGTCTTTCGGTAAAGTCACGTAGATAGGTAGAACCTATCTACGTGACTCAAAGAATATTCGTGACTCAAAGAATATTAATTCCTGCAGTCACGAAAGCTTTAAGTCCAGACGAAATAACAGAAAGACGAACACATTAATTAAAGATCATACGAAGGTTAACGACATGATTCAAATTGTAAAAAAAGTAAGTGGACTTGAACACGGCACATCGCTAAAAGGAATGATGGCCGATGGACAAAAATAAAGATAGAATGGCAGCTGAGGAATGGTATGTGTCCAAGGCTACATACACTAAGGAGGAGTGATTAAATCAGCTCATGCACACATGCTAGTTGGATTAGTACATTGCAGAATCATGATAAATGGCGACGGCTTGGGAGGGGTGTGCATCCAGCAGTGGATTAATCATGGCTGATGATGAATATACTGTACACACCTTACACAGAAAAGACGTACAGTTTTAAAATCAAAAACAGCTAATCTGCGTATCACAGTTTGGTAAACCGAAAATGGCAATGACGTAGCGAAATCTTTCAAGATCCCACAAATGCCAAATAAAAAACGCTTTTTCCATAACCTGTTCAGAAGAATATTTTTTTTTTCATGAGCACCATTGCCAAGCATTGCTAGGTGGACCTAATAATTAATGCATTTCTTCAGAAAAGCTTCGGAGATTTCTGAGGCCCTTTGGCATTGGAACATTTTCCCAATTCATTTAAATTCACGTTCACGACACATGGCGCACTCCAACAATAAACACACTGAGCCGAGTTACAGGCCTTGCACGTCCTTATTTACAGAGCTCATTGTTGGGATTTTCATAGCGTTGGCTGAACTTTTCTAAGAGTAAACATGCGAGGGGTGGGCAAAGAGGTGGGTATTCTGAATAAGAACCAAAGAGTATTCTGAATAAAATTGTAGAGTTTTTAAGCATGGGAATTGACCAGTCATCATCATCATCGCGATCCATGGGCAGATAGCCCCTCGGTGTCCAATGCACATGCAGTCATGTGTTTCCACATTCCTGGCCTAGAGTAGCTGAGGAAAAGCCAAGAATATAAGGGAGAGATGCTCAAAGACCCGCATAGAGACAATGCTTGGCAACCCACTTGCTGTACTTTTTCCAGGCCACATCAGCAGGCCATCAGATTGGGGAGTTTCAGAAATGTTCACGATCCTGACCTCCTAGTGCTAGATTACAGGCATGCATCACCATGTCCAACTAATACACTAGTTAATAATAATAATATTTACCTTCATACGGCGCTTTAATTCATCGGCAATTTAAACCACCTTACATCCTCATATCGAGGATGTAAGGGGCTCAATCGAGGATGTAAGGGGATCATCGCTCGTGGCAGCTGTGCCCGAGTGGCACAAGGCGACTCAGCACTTTACCGACAAGGGGGCATTAGTCTGCGGCGGGGGGGTGAGGGGGTAATGATTCATCTGTGTAATCCCATTTGGGTAATTTACGGGCTATTTACCAATTTTGGCAAATTTGGACCATAACGCTGGCACACAGTAGCCTCCTGATTTTTGAAATGCCATCACGGGACCTTTAACGTCCAAGGTTAATCGGAGAAAATGTTCCAATGAGAGAAGGATTGGGTGAGAACGAGGGGACGGAACAAAATGTCAACAGCACAGCAAGTGGCACATAGCCTGGCACCTGCTACGGAGCAATCGCAGCACGTGTCGTTCCCGGGCATGCTCTGCACTTCCAGGATGATGTCGCTCGTCAGCTCCTGCACACTGCTGATGTCCGCCCCATGCTCTCCCTTAAACGCGTTGTTCATGGCCTCCTCTTTGCTGTTGGTCAGCACCGAGACCCAACTGTGAAGAAAACAGTTTAACCCAACATTTTAATCATGGACTGATGGCAAAGACTGAACAGCCCGTACATGTAAACGGTTTCGGAATATACATATTTTAACGGGATGAAAATAACCGTATTTACTCAATTAGAAAATAAAACCTTACTGAAATGCATATTCTTGCGTACATATATAGCTGATAGTTCTCGAATTGAGAACACGAATATATATGAGCCGTCAGGAAACCAAACCTAAACCGCAATGGCACAAACCATGGCAGCTGATACGGGTACTTTATGATGCACAAATGGAAAATTAAATACCCCTCGGTGTGCGACTGTGGTCACCCAGAACAGACCACGGAACGTATAACGACTCAATACCCGATTCACACATATGGAGGCATCATCACAGCGATACACTCCGCTACTCCTGATGCAATTGTCTGGCTCAACCTCCTCAATACAAATTCATAATTGTGGAAGGAAACGATTTTAAAGAAAGATACCATTTTGAGAATGGCCTATTATAGATCTGCAAACTAGCAGTTACAATTTTAAATCTTTTATAGACGCTGCTTGCTCAACTTCACTGGAACAAACTCCCACTGCACATAAAACAATCACCTTCACAAACTTGCTTCAGATCCTCCTTTAAAACCCATCTCTTCTCCCTTGCTCATCCTACTCCTACTCCCTGCCCCCACCCCCACCTACAAGGGCTACCCCAACCCTTATAACTACCCCTATTACTACCCCAACCCCTATAACTACCCCAGCCCCTATCACTACCCCAACCCCTATCACCACCCCAACCCCTATCACTACCCCAACCCCTATCACTACCCCTATCACTACCCCAACCCCCACCCCAACCCCTATCACTACCCCAGCCCCTATCACTACCCCAGCCCCTATCACTACCCCTGTCACTACCCAACCCCTGTCACTACCCCAACCCCTATCACTACCCAACCCCTGTCACTACCCCAACCCCTATCACTACCCCAGCCCCTATCACTACCCCAACCCCTATCACTACACCAACCCCGATAACTACCCCAGCCCCTATCACGACCCCAATCCCTATCACTACCCCAACTCCTATCACTACCCCTATCACTACCCCTATCACTACCCCAGCTCCAATCACTACCCTAACCCCTATCACTACCCCAACCCCTATCACTACCCCTGCTGCTACTCCCAAACCCTGGCCCCCGGCTATGCCCACGCCTACCCCACACCCTCCCGCCTGTTCTCCTACCTGTCACCATCACTGCATCACCACTCTTACTAACCCCACTCTTTATCTGAACCACTATCATCTCATGGACAATTTTATGATTGATGTAAAGCACTTTGGAATAAGGCCCTTTATAAATCTATATATGTATTTATATATATTTTTCAAGAGGCACTATATTTAGTTACACTCCACCCACCCACCCACTTCACCACCCGGCACTGCACAGTGTGGTCAAGTTATCGGTGTTACTTTTGAGTGATAATTTCTCAAAAACCATTGTAAATCAATTTGTTTATATTTTGATGAACACTTTCGACAACACTGTACATTTTCTGAACGTGTAAGTGTGCAGGGACAGTTTGTTTCATCTTACACGGCGCATTCTCTTTCATCTTCCACTTGAAAATGGTATGTTCTGTTATCTGTGTAAAAAGACAACGTACAAAAATCATGAAAACACACTGAGTAACACCGTTTGCCTTTAAAAGCAACGGAGAATGAACATCACAAGTCATGAAGCCGTACTGCGAGAAAATTGTCATCTTCGCACTCACACGAGATCAAACTGAAGCACTTGCGATCTTCCGCACTCGGCTTCACTTGACAAGTCAGCAAGTTGAGCTTTGCTGGCTGGCGGTTGGCCTGCAAGATACCAAACGGTACATTTCAATGTTAACTTTTCGAAAAACCATTGGTTACTTTCCAACGTAAATAATATGGTCATACTCTTCGGTTCTTTCGGTAAAGTCACGTAGGTGAAAATAAAAATAAAAAATAACTAAATTAAATCACGACGTTTCGGAGGCAACACAAGCTTCCGTCATCAGGTGGGACAACCACAGCAAAAAAAAACTGAATTACTGTAGTGGGCAGTAAGCAAAAAAAAAACGGAATTACTGTAGTGGGCAGTAATTATGTTTTTTTGCTGTGGTTGTCCCACCTGATGACACAAGCTTGTGTTGCCTCCGAAACGTCGTGATTTAATTGAGTTTTTTTTTATTTTCACCTACATGACTTTACCGAAAGAACCAAAGAGTATGGATCCTTGCGGTCATGAAAACTTCAAATCTAGAATATGGTCATAATTCACCAATACAGTGAATTGTAACAATCGGTTTTACCCTCTGGCAAAAAAACAGGTTGTATTGCATTATATTTCTAAGTTTACTAGGTTTGTTTTCTCTTTCATTTGTACCTTATGATGATTGCATTAACAACACGTACTTTGTGGTGAACATGCAAACAAAAAACATGCTCTGATAATATATGCATTGTCTTTGAAACGGATTGGTCAACACCAGAGACAGCTTTCTTTTGAGCCTCGTCTCAAAGTGTTAGACCAGAGGACGCCAAAAAGGCGTACAGGATTCCTTAAAAAAGGATTATGTTTGGTGTTTTAACATCTTAACACAGCTGTTTTATTGCCAGAAAGGGTAAAAGCTATTGCTATCTTCTTGGTTCTTTCGGTAAAGTCACGTAGAAGGGAAGTAATAAAATAATAAAAATAAAACATAATAAAACAATTCTCACGACGTTTCGTCTGACTCTGTCGCCTCGACGGACCTGGTTTTCACCTGAAGACGGCTGCTTGCGTTGTGGCCGAAACGTCGTGAGAATTGTTTTATTATGTTTTATTTTTATTATTTTATTACTTCCCTTCTACGTGACTTTACCGAAAGAACCAAGAAGATGAATCCCTGCAGTCATGAAAGCTTTAAATCGAAAGCTATTGCTATATTTTCATACTGGCACGGAAGGTCCCATGTTACAGTGAATTGCACTATCTGTAGATTTATGTGCATGCATTGTGTCCATAAGACAATTATTCTAATCACCTGCACTTAGGCTGATAAGACAAGAGTAAAGGCAAATTAATTGATATAATCCGAGTTTTATCAGTGGATTGTGTCCCAAACATCCGGGCGGTGACGAACATCATCCAAATTGGTGGCTTCCACTCATAAGATTAAAATGCCAAATCCTTCCACTTTGTCAAGGGTTTCCCGCAACTCAGCAGAATAACCCAGAAATTTGTGACAGATTCTGTATCATCTGCGCTTATTTGTGGGTTTGACCCGACCCAAATCAACACGTATTTTGGTCTCCCAATTGCACGTCATGTATCATCTTATCAGAATCTTTATTTGTCCTGGAGAAATCTGGTGAGCTATGCAGCTCTTTTTCACAGATACCCAGTATAGGGGCGGTAACCACAAGTGGTGGAAAAGCAATCGTATTTTCGAAGTTTATTCATGCTTCATCGTGTGGCTATAAGGAGTAAAATGAATGGATAAGCACAAACCATAATATCCACCAATAGAGCTCTCAGAGCAAAGCAAATAAGAGGAGTTTTACATCATGCAATATAAACAATTGTATATATAACTTCCCGTACAAGTGTATCACAATGTATGGGGAAAACTACACTCACCACTCCATGGTATATGAGCAAAAATCCATTTCTGACATCACATTTTCTTTTCTGCCACACTTTCCGTATTCTAGAGAAAGAAAAAAAACATAAATGATACGAAGCAACGGCACAAAGTAAATACATTTAACAGGATGCCTTTTAATTAAAACACATTTTTATCATTCCCAAGATACACTCAACAATACGCTAGTGTGGAATCACCAGCTAGCATAGCGCAGTTGAGGCAGATAATGTTAATCCGCATTATAAACGAAATTCATTTTTAAGATGAGCATTACATAAGAGGATGGAGCGATGGTACGGTTGTTCGTGTACGATACTATGATCCAGGCAACCCGAGCTCGATTCCCTAGCCACTGATAACATCAGACCAAGAGGGAGCGACGTAAAAAAAAAGCAACAAACACCCCCTCCAACCCAGCTTAAATATACGCTGCCAAGCCTGGTGGTGCCCATTCAGATGCTGTCTTTCCGACAGACCTGTTCTTCACCTGAGGACGGCTGCTTGCGTTGTGGCCGAAACGTCGTGAGAATGATTTTATTATGTTTTATTTTTATTATTTTATTATTTCCCTTCTACGTGACTTTACCGAAAGAACCAAGAAGATGAACCTCTGGAGCTGCCACCACATTCACTTGCAATTGCTGTGGCAAGGATTGCCACTCAAGGATTGGCCTACCAAGTCATTCTAGGCGCTGCAAAAACCCACAGCTGACCTCGTAAGGCGCAAAATAAATGTCTTTCGAGACACACATGCCTATTGAGTGGTATCCATACCAGCCTTGCCCCTCCCCCTTCAACAATCCACACTGAACAGCATTATAAAGCACGCTCAAAGAAAACCCCAAAGAAAAACCCCTGAGGTCATCATCAAAACAGTGGGTTGTAAATTTACGATCGTGTTCCACAATGAACAATTACCCATCGCTCTTCTTCAGAAGGTGTCCACTCTTTTCATTGCCATGAGTTTTGTTTCCCTGCAGCTGATGCAGGCTGTAGACCGCCTGCAGCTTTCCAGCATCCTGAGCATAGAGGCAAATAGGACAGAGTGGCGGAGGTCATTTGGACAGTTTTCTTCGTAAAATGGTTTTCATATTAGGTGAAACTTAAATAATTTACGGATGTGCTCCAGATTTTAAGACCAATCTGAAAAAATCATAGAATCAGGCACAGACACAACATTTTGGAAGATCCAAATGATAATTTTTTGTTTCAGATTGACCTGAAAACCAGAAGAGATGTCACTATGATGTCACTTCTGCTGTATTCCTGCCAAACATTGTGTTACGTGGCAGAGTAATGTCACTTTTGTAGTCACGAAGGCATAAATATATGACAATGTAAACAATCCGAAAACAATCCATCCTTTCCCTTCAAAATAAGAAAATTACGACGATTCTTTATCCCAAATTCATCCGTACTATCAATGCATATTACAATCAAATCTTTCAGAAGATTTAAAGATACTGTAAGCACCATATTTAGCTGGATCTAACAGTGAGCTGAAACGTACACATTCATAACTGACACGAACACTGTTGTTGAGATTACAAAGAAATTATTTCCAACCTCCTTGCTCTCCACTTGAAGAGAATCCTTCAACTTGTCCTTCATGGCACACAGCTTCTTGCGCTCATCATCTTGCGCCTGCTTGATCTGGAACAGCAACAAGGGAACAATTTATGCAACAGCTGCGCATTCCACCAACACTGTGAATGAGCGTTTTTGAAATGAGCTCTTATAATAGGCCTGGCCTTCATCTCAGGCTGTGTGCTATTTCACCTGGCCGAGGGAATGCATGTCCTTTGTACTAAAAAAAAATAATACTAAACGAAACTAATAAAAAAAAGTACCAGGTAAGGCCCACTGAGCTATAAAGCCACAAAATAATAGCTCAACCAAAGGGGCTTATCATGTGGAAATGTATAGCAGCCAAATACTCCACACACGTTTCTAAACGTGGAGGGAAAAACCAGAGTACACGGAAAAAAATACACGTGACTACAGGAAAAACAAGATCGAACTCATGACCTCCTTTATCTTGTTGTTGCATGAATACAACTAGCATAGTACATACGCCTTCGGGTTTCAAACTGCAAGGTGCTCATTTCAGGCTGAGTCAACCTAGGGGAGGGCCAGCACCGTTTCAGATAATCATCACTGGTGGTGGCCGTGAATGGGAATCGAACTCGGGTCGCCAAGTTCGTAGCGCAGCACAATAACTATCACTACCGGCTTCCCATCCACATCCCTCTTCACCAACACGTAACTGGCATGCCTTGGGGAGGGCCTTTATCCAGTAGTGGATTCACAAAGTGCTGTACATAATAAATACACATTCTATACATGTATTATATAAATACATTGGTAACATGGCAAAGGGTGATAGAATGTAATGGTTCAATGTGCAGAGACTCGGATGTCAAAAACCCACCCACACGTTTATGCAAGAACAAAAAATTGTGGTTAGGGAAGTTTTGCACAGTGGGAGGGGGGTGGCGGGAGAGTTCCACTCCTAACTGAAAGTAAAAGCGACGTGCCTAGGACGTCTTGGCCTACTCGCATTACAACTTCCATGTTTTGTTTCATGAGCCACTTACATTTGTTAGTTCTGCGGTGAGGTCTTCAACTGAGCCTTTCAGACTCTCAACTATTTTTAAACTGTCCTGGAAAAAACTGTCAACAACAAATCGTAATCTTCACACAAAGCATCATACACGAATTCATGAGCGAGAAAAAAATGCGTAAAAAACAACAGTAATCATGGGTATTCTGTTAAGTAACATCTCCGTTTATATATAGTGTATATGTGGAAAACTGCGCTTTAAAATATAACAAATCCAAAAAGGCACCTGGAATGAGTGTGGTAGAGTTTGATCAAATGCTGAAGAAAATCGGCCCCTTTCTTGGATTGAATCTCATTCACTTTGATCAGATACTGTGGGAAACAACATCACATTAATGAAGGATGCAAAATGACGCGGTTGTCATTTGAAATCCACTTGATTTATAAAACAATCGGGCAATAATCAACATCAGCATTCCCACGCATAAAGGCTGGGTTGCGCTCATCTCCAGGGGGGAGTTCTAAGCTAGCGGTGACCATTCTATGTTCTTATGACAGGGACAAATTTATTCATGTGCAACAGTCACCATACCATCGGCCAGCCGCCGCATTGTTACTCTACCGTTGCTTCTATCATTGTTACTGTTCACTCGTTGATTCTTCCTACCATGCTGAGGATCCAATCTAGCAGACCGAATGCACTGTCTCACCCATAATGTTCTACCACCAGACCACAGAGGTCAACATACAATCTGGAACTTCTCCACTTTGGAATTTCCTCCTATCTTCTCTTTCACCCGAGTTCTTAATCTTGCACAATTGAAGAAACATCCTACAACCGACTGTTTTTCAAAAGTGCCGTTCGTTGCTGGCTGCTTGGCAATTTAGGCCTTTCGACTCGTACTCCGATAAGCATTGTTGGTCTACGTACAGTGCAAAAGAAGTTTGCCATATATATAATCAGCATCCGTGATAAAAATTATAACCGACAGACCAGTTCTGTTTAAAAAATTGTCCAGAGGACAGAAATGGCTCATGTGATAACAGCACACATCCTCTTGGGCAGGCAACTCAACAGCTGTGGTCCCCATTGCTCAACACACAGTCTTGCGTCGCTGCCACTTTGTGGGTGGAGAATTCTTATCAGAGGTAGACAAAGGACCCACCTCGCACATCTGCAGCTGCACAGCTTTCCGCTCACGCTCCATGTCCTCTTCCTTCTCTGTTTTGGACCTTGGGGTGTGTCACAACAAAAGAACACGTCACTCAGGCGGTCCACGATATCAGGATACCTTCGTTTTCTTTTCAACAGTTAAACGTATCGTGGGTATGGAAAAGATGTAATTCGCATAACTCACATTTTGGTTTCATAGTCCTTCCACGTTTTGTCAAATGATTTTTTAAGGTCCTGTAAAAAAGAAATATACAGGGCATCGTTTTCAGTGTGAAGCATCTATCATGAAAATTATCTAGGATTTAAGCTTTCGTAACTGCAGAAATTATACTCATTGGTTTTTTCGGTAAAGTCACGTGTGTAGAAATAAAATAAAATTTAAATAAATTAAATTAAAATAAATCACGACGTTTCGAACGCAACACAAGCGCTCATCATCAGGTGGAAATGGGGTGAAACACATAGCGAGGGAACACACAGGGAGACACCACGTACATAGCACATAGACAACGGCAAACTGCATGTAAGAAAACACAGACCTTAGAAACATAATCTGATGCAAACCAGTCAGCCAACAACACAGTTAGACACTAACCTGGTTGACCACGTATTTCAAAAGACTGCTAAATCTCTCGTGAGCATCATGAGAATGTTTATCTAGACTGGAAGAATCCGATGAGCCGTAAAGCTCTCTTTGGCAGATGTCGAGAAGGACAATACCACTGTGTGTAAGGTTACATTCAAGATCACTCACCCCCTTGACTTCCTTCAAGTCACCTTTCAGAAGAGTATCCAAGGAGAACACAATGACATTGTTTACTTGTCGGTTCTGAAATCAAGATGAAAAAAAAATACGAGTTTAACTTGGACCGAATAGCGATTTTGAGCACACATGAATATTCGCATGTGAGAAAATCACCCGGAATTCAACCGATCTCATCAGATCTTGGAAGACAAGCAGGCTTGTGCTCTGGATAGCGTTTGGATGGGAGACTACCATGCACTAGTTGTAGGCGTTGTGGGAAGTAGAGAGCAGTGCAATAAAAAACGAATGTTGTTCAGCACTCCAAACACCTCCACCAACATGCACTGACCATGTTGGTGAAGCATGGTTATATCATCCCTCATGGCCCATAGGGTCCTCATCCAGCAGAGGATAATAATAAAAAAACAATGGGCTGTACATAAACATTCGCTCGACAATGTATCAACGTAATTTTCATTCCAAGTAATAGTTCCCTAAGCAAAAAACCGGAAGCGGTGTTTGGTAATAAAACCGTTTCATTATTACTGTACTACACCTGTGCACAGGGCAGCAATAGTCATCACAGAACCACGCGATATGTGATGATGCCATGTTTCGTATTGGGCGTTTCCACATGAACTGCACTTGTGGTTCCACCCAGATTTTATTAAAATGTGCTCGGCAAGCGGTACCATGCTCTTCAGATGTGACGACAGCTCCTTTGTGTAGACGGAGAATTTGAGGAAAGCCGTGGCCAGGTGTGGTTCTTCCCTCTCCAAATAGTTGTTTCCAAACTTCTCCAGGTAATTGGAAAAGAGCTCCTCGTTTTCAACGTATGCTGAAAGGCAATACGCGCACGGCAAGGTTCACAACATATGAACCCATGTTGGTCTCTTTAATATAAAAATTATTGTTAAGTGAGACCTGTACATTTGCATGATCCGGCCAGATGGCAACGTGATACATGGAGCGTGCTGCTCAAAGTAGGAATGTTGTGGGTTCAAATCCTGATCAGCCCTACATGCCTCTGGAGTCGTTCAAACTAGATATGTTGCAGTAGTTGTATGATGGGATAGTGATTTTAAATTGCAGAATCATTATTATTACTGCTTACATTTTTTAAGTGGTTTTCATTCGAAGTAAATGAGGGTTTTGTTATTGAAACATTGCACTACAGTATTCATCAACGTGGTAAAAAGTAAAGCCTGAGCCGGCAGTGAGCAGCACACAATCAGATTGATTGTGAGTTCAAATCCTGGTTGTGGGTTGGCTAAAGCTGATCATTCCCGTGGGATAAATAAAACAGAGAACATATTTAGGAATGTGGAAATTGAACCACTGGATCAGGTCTATAAACAGCAGATGAACTGTGTACCCCATGCTCAATTAAACAGGAAAACTATTTCAATTCGCTAATATTTCCACATGCATACACACAATGGCGTGCATTTGGTTAGAGTAAATATGTGTAACCTTACAACGTTAACACATGTTCAGTCACGTGCATACTGTCAGTCAGCTGAATACCACTACGCACTAGTATACCAGTGATATAGCAGTCATCTGTTTTGGAAATATATATTCTTGGTTCTTTCGGTAAAGTCACGTAGAAGGGAAATAATAAAATAAAAAAATATATAAAACAATACAATTCTCACGACGTTTCGACTGCAACACAAGCAATCATCATCAGGTGTGAAATCCACAACAAAAAAATGTGAAAAAAAAATTAACTAAGCTCTGATTATAATTGTAATGAAGCAATCCTCTAAAATTGTGTTGAGTACTTTGTCCTGAGGTGCACATAGTCTTCACGTATTTCTTCATCTTCTGCAAGCACCCGCGATCGGTTTCCAGCGCCTGAGGAGACATTTGACATTAGGTTAGGGAGCAATCAATCAATAAATCATGCTGCTGTTTATTCAAAATGGATGCGATATCCCCGGCTACTGCCTTTTCGCAACAATGCGCACGCTTGCTCTAATTACGCTACGGACAACATTGAATTAACAAGCACGTGGCCTATGTTGGCAGATAATATGGGATTAATTAAACCCTCCAGGACTTAACAGGGAAGTGTGATGGCTGCACAAAGGAGATTGCATGGCAGTGCCAGTCCTCGCATTACGTCTGAACTCGTTGTGCTCAATTGTAATTACCGGACGAGTGCAATACGTGCGTATGAGTTACCTACTTTAGTTTAGCACGTACTGCAAGACAAGATGGATGTAAACTTGATTTGGAGCTTTCGTGACTGCAGGAATTACTCTTTGGTTCTTTCGGTAAAGTCACGGTAGAAAGAAAATAATAATTAGATAATAGCGTACGGCGTTTTGATTGCAACACAAGCAATCGCCATATGTTAGCCGACTCTCTGTGTTGTATTGCATTATATTTTTAAGCCTACATAGGTTTGTTTTCTCTTTCATTTGTACCTGATGATGATTGCTTGTGTTGCAATCTAAACGTCGTATGCTATTATTTTATTTATTTTTTTCTTTCTATGTGACTTTACCGAAAGAACCAAAGAGATAGATGTAGTTTTAGTATCTTGATTTTAAGCGTTATTGTTATTTTAAATGTAAAGTAAACTCGGGGAAATTCTACATATTTTTCATGTGAGTTTTAGTTTGCTAGCAACGAGCCCCCCCCCCCCCACCAGCCTTCAGGAGAGACACAGCCTGCAGCATAGATATTGTGCAGGAGAAATGTCAAATATGCGTTGGGAATGTCAATGCCACGTTGCGATAAAAAAACACACAATAATAAATAAATAATAACTAACTAACACAAAACACACTAAAACACAACATGAAACAAATACATTTTGATTTAAAGCTTTCGTGACTGCAGGGATTCATATTCTTGGTTCTTTCCGTAAAGTCACGTAAAAGGGAAAAATTTATAAAACAATGTTTTTTTTCCCTTCTACGTGACTTTACTGAAAGAACCAAGAGTATGAAATAAATACCTTACTAACACAACGTTCGCTAGTCGTGGACACGTGATAAATTTACGTATTGTAGCCTCAGTATCCTGGTGCGGGGGGGGGGCAGTGGTGTTCATTGGGGGGCCATCATACCAAAAAAACTGAAAAGACTGATTTAGTTACATTTAACATTAATATCAGTGAGAGCAGTGCAGTACTCTATTTTGTATCTAAAGGCTGTTTGCATTCCGAAGAAAAAAATTTCCACGAAATATATTTTAAACATTTTGAATATTTTCAATCACAGAAGCTGCAGCAGCCAAAAGGTGTTGTCACAGTTACTCCCATGCTCCCACAACAGCATTACACACAATTACACAATGCACACACATCACAAGGCTAATTTCCTTTCCAGTTAGAATGGACTTGTGGACAGTTTTTTTTTCCCCCAGTGCGGTATGAAGTTCAGAATTGAAAAAAAAAAACTCACTTAGAACATGCCACACACAAGGTAACATTTTTGAAACATTTTTTAAACATATATATCCTTTGCGTATATACCAAGGCTGATGATGCTGCAGTAACCCATGCCAGCAAAGCACAACCAGTCTAAGCACATGCCTTTTGAGTCACCTAAGCTAGCTTTGGCATATGAGACATGCAGTCACATGCCCTACACACCCTGCCATTATTTAGGGACCCTGACACATTTTCTCAATCCCTGCCCTTCCGTGTGCAGCAAGTGAACCAAAGCAGCACTCACTATCTCCCACGTGCCCTCTGTCGGTCGAACACGCCGAGGTGTGGAGCAAGGAAACAGCCTTGGTTAGGGCACAGATAAACCAGCACGACCCTCTGTAATCAGAGTGCACTGGCCCAGAGAGAGACATCGGGCAGTGTCCATATGTGCGGTGGTGCAATTGCAAACGTGTTGGACAAGAGCTCCCACGGCAGAAGCCTGCCTCAAAAGCTTTCCCAAAATCGAGATGCCGGAGGAATTTGGTCGCTATGATCACCCACGCACAATGCTCAAGTGTGCAGATCTGAAACGACCGCAGTGTGTACACATTCTCGCACACACCCAATACATTCTCGCACACACCCAATACATTCTCGCACATGCAGAAATTTCAGATTCCTTACCAAAGTGGCAACTCAGAAGTTTCATGAACACCTTTGGCATACAACGCGTTGGTAATACACCCTATTCAGCAGTGACCACGATTTTAAACGACGACACATTCACATGCTTCATATGAGACGTTTAAGACAACGTATTTATGTTACCGTTGCTCACTGCTATTAGCGACTATCAGACATCACTGCAGCTGATGCAGGCAAGCCAAAACCCGCCACAGCTTGACAATAAATATCTTATGATCTTAACACGTTATGCAAAAACTACAGTTCATATTTGCATACAACTCTCTCGTGCCCTTCCGTCACTATTAAACTACGGCATATGTTACTAACAAAGTAGTTTCAACTAGACAGGACAGTATTACATTAGAGTTAGAGATCGCACTATTAATCGTTTATTTAGAGGGTGGTCCAGACGTCTTGTGACCCCAAATTAATTGACCCCTAACAATTGTGTTTTTTCTTTGTAAAATTAATTTCTGTTTTAAATAAACCTCACTTTAAAAATATTAAATTTTAGATAATTAAATTTGGGATCACAGGCCATCTGGACCACCCTGTAGATTTAATGGTCCAAAGATTAAAATCCAAGACTCTTTTTATGGTCAATTACTATACTTGGGTTACTGAGATGATCAAGCACATGATGTCACCATGCTCCGCCCATAACTTCCCACCCAGAGGCACACCTGAGAGCAGGCATGAGATTGATGAGATGAATTATCGTAACTTTTTGGTGATTAGCAATTTGTCAAGTAATCGATTAAATAATAGGCAGTGCAATCAATGACTTAAATAATCAGATAGCCCAGCTCTGAATTATAGTATAATTAACACGTGTCATACCAGGGTTTGCAAAAGTTATACAGTTGCGACGCTACGGTTGAAAATGTATTCATTGCTCTACCACTTGAGTTTACATGCAGAACAGTACTGGCAAAAGCAATGCGTTCTATTGCAGGGTAACAGGAATGAGTAATAGGAGTTGGAAGGCAGCATGAGCAAATGCATCAAATAAGACCCACAAGCTAAAATGAGAAGGTATATTTTGGGAAACCCAATCACTGCTCCAATATCGTGTTTTGGCTGTGACGTTCCTACGTGGAGTCAAACATTCCACAACTACCAAATTACTTTTCGATTTAAAGCTTTCGTAACTGCAGGGATTCATATTCTTGGATCTTTTGGTAAATTCACGTAGAAGGGAAATAATCGAATAATAAAAATAAAACGTAACAAAAATTCTCACGACGTTTCGGCCACAACACAAGCAGCCGTCCTCAGGAGGTGAAGAACACAGCTGTCAAAAAGCGTCTTTATTTTTATTATGTTATTATTTCCCTTCTACGTGACTTTACCGAAAGATCCAAGAATACCAAATTACTCTTCCAAAAACCTAATGGGTTGGTGAAATGTCGGTGCAACACGTGATATGAGAAAGGTATTAATCTGTGCAATTGGTACGTGATGTCTTCATAACATTTATGGCCAACAAAGCAGAACCACTCCCAAGCAACGCTTGATTGCTATGTCACTATACTCATGAGCACAGAACCAAATGCCACCAGCAAGCTGAAAAAAGTCACCAGCTGACTGAGGTTGTACAAGAATGTTAACCATGCCCTACCTATTTATAGCAGAGCTCAGATGTGTATGGTCATGTTTGATAAATATTTAATGCCTGGATTGGTAAAATACATCTTCTGTATACATTATTCAACATGCAAAATTATAAAAATATGGTATATACAAATACATTTCCATTAACTAAGCTATTAACATATATCATGTTTCAATTCGATTGCAAGATCATTCTCATGGACCATATGACTGCATGGGGGTTTGAAATAAAGAGATCAACGAAAACATTACAGGAGTGCCTCCCACCCAACTGTGGAAAGTCAACTCAGATGGCCAGGATTTCTCATAAAATTACAGTAAACTCAGACCATAAGATATGAAAGTACTAGGACAGACACCAAGAGGCAGGCCTAGACAGACATGGTTCAAATCAAAGTGGTAAACTTGCATATGAAGGACTGGTGGAGTGAACACAATGTTGCAATGTCATTTTTATTTTAAGGCGTATTTAAAATAATGTACAAGGTATTTCGTATGATTTATGGGTCAGCAAGATAGCACGGTGGTCTTTGTTACCCAAGTGGAAGAGGATATACATAGGTTCACTGTTAAAATCCCATATCTGCCACAACATGCCCTCTGATTCGAAAGGTTGACGAAGACCCCAAGATATTTTCGAGAGAAGCCCCACTGAATGTGGGGTATAGATATCTTGTTTCCAACATTGCAGACACATCTGAAGCTTGATGTGAAATTATAGCATTGAAAGGGCCATAATCAATATATTTTAAACACAACACATAATCATAAAATGCCACACTTAAATAAAAGAACCTCCACATGAATTTAAATTTAACGTCAATATAGGGTTTATAATTGCCAAATAAACCGACGCTCAAACCTTCAAAAAGAAGACGTCTAAGAAATTTGCAATCTGCTGTCGTCTAATTACCATGTCTTAATGCGAACTCATACAAACACGAGGGCTTAACAGTATCTCGTATGATATTATAATTATAGTAACCGTAGGTTAGGCTTATTCATAGCAACATGTTAACACAATATAAATTAAGTTAACAACACGGCAATTTGACAAGTGGGAATGCAATGTGCCAACTTTCAAACAGCACTATTTTTTTCATCGGTTTACAAGAGAAGATGCAGTAAGACTGCCTGCTAACAAGGCAAGTAGGTAGCAAAAGTAACTGTTTCCAGTGGTGAACCACACTTCCTTACGCCATCTCAAACCACACTGTGAATAACTACAGTAAATGCCCTTGCATGGTCCGAGCAGTGGGTACTCAGGAAGTAAGAAATTGGATCGCATTATTCATCGCAATAAATAATAAAGAAATAAAACCTGACAAATTATATCGTTATACAAACCTCAAAGATACTACAATGTTACGCAGCTGATGTGTGCTAAGCTAGCTCAGCCCAATGTGTTATTTTATACATGGTGAGCAACATTCACTCCAATCACTTATTAGTGCGATTTAGATACAAATCAGGGGCTGTACAAAAAAATAAAAGAAGAAAATTAAGCTGCATTAGCCAATGCCACTATCAATGCGGACTAGAGAGAATGCCCATGCAGTGGTTGTTACTTTTTTTCATGTTAATAGTGAAATCATGGAAAAATTGACAACCCAAACACTGATCAGGCAACAAAATAATCTAATATTTAACAATACACTGACAGCTTTCATTAGACATACTAGATATATTTATTCTGCTGTGCTTTCTAAGTCTATCCCTCTTTCAGATGACCTAATCAAACTCGTATATGAACTTTGTTTTGCCCAACCTTACAGCTTTCTCCACTGTATTAAAGTCTTTCAAAATGTTCTGCAGTTCATCCCCATGGGACGTTAGAAGGAGGATGTTGTCATATATATTAATTAATCAGTTCAAGATAAAGGTCCATTTGATTGGTAGAGCCTTTTCATTGAGGATGACATGGATGTTCTCGAAGTATTGGCCTCAAGTAGCCTTACTGGGCGCCACGGTGGCAATATGTTAACTACCTCGAATTGTATTCAGGACGTGGGTTTGATCCCAACCCCGACGCCTGTATATTTGGAGTTTGTTCTCCCCGTGGTCGCATGGATTTTTCTCTGGGTGCTCGTTTTCTCCTCCACATTTAGAACACGATTTTAGACTATTTGGCTCCTATAAATGTCCACGTAATAAACCACTTCGTTGAGATATCATTTGTGGCCAGATCGCTTCTAAAAAAGGAGCTATAGCTCAGTGGGCCTTACCTGGTAAAATATAAATAGTTGAGTTTATTCAGGTAGTCATTCTTAATTCGTAATTTTAGCAATTTTGAGTCATCTTCTATTCACCAATACTGTACACCATTATACTTAATCAGAAGCAGGTGAGAACATACGATACGATTCATTTGAGTGGTCACAAAACGACTATTTGTGATTATCATTATTTTTGCACTATGGGAGTGAATGAGAGTATTATTTATCACTGCCAAATATTACTTTATCACTCACCACTGACACATATGACTTGCATGGCAGAAATAAATACCGAACACCAGATCTCTCTTGCCGATTGCGAGCCTCTGTGTTAAGGGCAGTAGTTTTATCACTGCCTTTCACATGGCCGTGTAACTGTAATCACAGAGGTAGCTGGGAATGTGGTCGGTTATCTTTCTGTACATGTAAGCAACACGTTGGTTATTTATTTATTTGGTCATACAGTGTGTATTCGCTTCATATTTTCCCACCCTTCGAAATGCAGAACTTTAAATTATTTCAGTGTTATTTAAGTAATTTAAACAGGTTTCGAGACCGTATTAAACCTCAATTTTAAACGGGTGAACTTGGCCATCGACATGGACGTTATTAATGAGTCTCTTATATTTTCGTGTCCACTGACAGCACTTTTTTTTCACGTGCACCTTTTCCACCTACGCTTCTACAATCACACGTTTAAATAATTTCGCACACACATCCGCATGCATGGATAATGCACTGTACACACAATACACATTTACAATCTGGCTCAAGATCATTGTTCATTGGAAACTGCTGTCCTTTCAGCTACGGGAATGGAGACACTGAAACGACATAACAGAGATTGGGCCACTTAGCCAATATTGTGTAGGCTTTCTGCAAAGTGCATTATCAGGATAATGTGCATGTATTTTTTGTCAAGTAATCAAATGGAACAACGTCAGGCGTGCTAAGTTTCTATGGCCCTGGATTTAAGTAGTGTTGGTATACTGTTTGTGTATGTTTACTCCATTAATTGTTTACAGATTAACTATTAATTCCCTAAGATAACTATAGTGCTCCATTGGCAGTAACTCATTGACGTCCAAGACAGTTTACCACTGAAACCTACTCACTAACTGGCATCAGCTACAATGGGAGGGAATTGTAAGAACCTGAAAAACAATGACTTTAAAGTGCCTCCCAGTTCGTCAATGCCATTAGATGGGTTGGTTACACCCCGAGGCATATATATGACACAAAGGTGTGTACCGCACACAATTAAAATTAAATCCATGACCTAACATCAAAACAGCAACTTGCCACCACACGTATCAAACGATGCCAATAAATTGACTCAACATTTGTATACAATCCTATTCCATGGGATTATAAGACATAGAAGAAAGGAAAACGTACCCCCCAAAGCTGTGCCCGGTGTCAATCAATACAACACACACTCACATCTACTAGATTATAAGATGCATCTCCCAACTCTGCTTTAAATCACGGGGGGAAAGAGTGCATCTCATAATCCTGGATACACTGCAATATCTCGCACTACAAAACTATACAATCCTCAAGTCAACGGGACACAATTCTATTCTTGCAGTGTGGTGATGGCAGTGTATTCACAAGCTCGGCGCGAAATGGTCGAGATCTGCTAGCCCAGGAGTGAGTTGGTGTCGTTTTGCTAATTCCTCCTCTGTTGAACTAAGCACAGACCACAGCAGTTTACTAAATGGTCCACTTTGGGTTGCCAAGGCCACGATCGGTCTCATGTGGCCTGTCTTTAAAGTATCGGTATGGGTCTCGATGGTTCTCGAAATCTCTATGTGTATCAATGTACAGGTAGTCCTCTATTTACGATGGAGATGCGTTACGACGACCCCATCGTAAGTCAAAAATATCGTAAGTCGAAGATGGCCTAGCCTACCCAGGAGTCTTAAAGAATGGTGATAATTTAGCAAAACAGAGCAATTTACAGTATATAAAGTTTACTGTATAAACTATATATACTGTACAGTATATATAGTTTATAGTTTAATGTATAAACTATATACTGTATGTATTTATTAATACAATACTGTATTGCACAGTAAAGTGTAAAGTAAAGAAACAAGGTTAATTCTTAGCCTACCGACATGAACTGCAATTTCATAGCAAGTTTTTTCAGGAAGCAATCCTATCTGCTATAAAAAAAAATAACTTTTAACATGCATTGAACACCGAGACAACTTAACTTGCCATCGTAAGATCGAAATATCGTAAGTCGAATCATCGTAACTCGAGTACTATCTGTATACGTCTCTGCATTTCTATTGGGTCTCTGTGTACTGTAGCTATACCTTCCTATATCTCTACGGACCTTTTTCTAGGTCTATGCATCTCTGTGTGTGTATCTCAACGTGTCTCTGATGGGTTTACGAATTCGATCCGCAGTTTTTGTGTTGCAGGTCCACAAATCGCACCACCACCACCACCACTGACTGCGGCTCTCGTCCCCCTTGTGATGGAGAAGCGGCTGTGAATCTGCCTGCGTGTAACAGAACACTGCAACAAGTCACTCACTCACACACACAGAGAGAGAGGCAGGTGACTGGCAAGGCAGGGCAAGACAAGGCAGGGCAAGGCAGTCAATCGGTCTCTGACTCCGACGGGGTCGTGAGTGAACACGCCGAACTGGGGAAGACTCCCCAATTGTTTAATTCAACTGTGAATACGGAATCTGCTGGTGGTGGGATAAGGGGAAGAGACTATGGCGTTAGAACAAGGAACAACAACAACAATAAGCCTTCTTGTGCTGCCAAAGCTTCAAGACACGAAGAGAGAAAAAAAAGTGGCTTTTCCCGTTTTCCAAACGACGAAGCTGTCAGAGCGAGTTGACACTTTTTGGCAATCGGACGCGGAGTTTAAACACGTTGCACGACTTGTGCATCATACACGCTGACGATGTTGCTGCTGTTGTTGTGTTTGTTTGTGTGTGTTTGTTTGTGTGTTGCTGTGTTTGTGTTTGTCTGTGTGTTTATGTGTTTTGTCTGTATGTGTGTTTATGTGTTTTGTCTGTGTGTGTTTGTCTGTGTGTGTTTATGTTTGTGTGTTTGTGTGTGTGTTTGTCTGTGTGTGTTTGTATGTTTGTTTGTGTGTGTCTGTGTGTTTGTGTTAGTTTGTGTGTTTGTGTGTGGTTGTCTGTGTGTGTTTCTGTGTTTGTCTGTGTTTGTGTGTGTGTTTATGTTTGTTTGTTTGTGTTTGTCTGTGTTTATGTGTTTGTGTGTGTGTGTTTATGGTTGTGTTTGTGCGTGTGTGGTTGTTTGTGTTTGTTTGTCTGTGTGTTTATGTTTGTCTGTATGTGTTTATGTTTGTGTTTGTCCCCAACCAAATACGATAGCGTGTCGTATTGATTGTTAGTGTTTAGCGCCATCCCCTCCCTCCCCCCAAGTTCGATATCTTAACTCGCGGCTAACATCAGTGGCGAACCACAGTTGTCACAAAGTGATCTGAAGCCCTCCCGGGCACCACCTAAACACGACTTCACATTAAAACAACCAAGGCAACATGGGGGGTGGGGGAGAGAGGAGGAGGAAATCGTTGTGTTTATACAAAAAATATATAAACTTTGTTAGGACCCACCTCTTCGATGTTGGAAAACGACTTCTTGTAGACGTTCATCTTGGAGGAAAAGGTCGACGACGAGTTGGTGGAGTTGGTGCCATTCTCCCTACACTCCTCCAAGAATTCATCCACACTGAACATGTCCATCATCATTGCTGCTGTTGTTGTAGCAAGCAGAAGCCACCACCCTCGTCTCTCGCTAAATGACGATTTGCTGCGGGTGATTATCACCACGCCAGGGCTACCGATAATGCTCAAACTATTATCGATTTGTTTGCTTTGTATGACGGACGCAGTGTGAACAGCCAGTCGACGATCGGTTGTCTAAGTGCTGCTCATGGCTTGCCGGTGGCGAGACTGACGATGTCGATGTCGTTGTTGTTGCACTGAAGCTGACGTTTACCATGAACCCGAGCGGCGCGTGTAAGTCGCAGCACGACACGTGTGTGTGAGTCGCAGCACGTGTGTGTCGCGTGTGTGTGTGTCAAGTGTGTGAGTGTCACGTGTGTGTGTGTCACGTGTGTGAGTGTCACGTGTGTGTGAGTCGCAGCACGTGTGTGTCACGTGTGTGTGAGTCGCAGCACGTGTGTGTCGCGTGTGTGTGTGTCAAGTGTGTGAGTGTCACGTGTGTGTGTGTCACGTGTGTGAGTGTCACGTGTGTGTGAGTCGCAGCACGTGTGTGTCACGTGTGTGTGAGTCGCAGCACGTGTGTGTCACGTGTGTGAGTGTCACGTGTGTGTGAGTCGCAGCACGTGTGTGTCACGTGTAAGTCGCAGCACGTGTGTATGTCACGTGTGTGTGTGTCACGTGAGTGTCACGTGTGTGTGTGTGAGTCGCAGCACGTGAGTGTCACGTGTGTGTGTGTCACGTGAGTGTCACGTGTGTGTGTAAGTCGCAGCACGTGTGTCACGTGTGTAAGTGGCAGCACGTGTGTGTGTGCGCGCGCGTTGCGGGTGCAGGCGTCGTGAGCTCAGAGCAGCACTCGGGCGTTGAGACGCCACCGCTGTTGTGGGAGTGGCGAGAGTGGCAGCAACACCCCCCACCCCCTCCTCCCCCCCGAAGCCCACGCCCTCTCACTCCTCCCCTTCCTCCCTCCTCTGCCCCTCCCCTCCTCCCCCCTACATCCCCCTCCTCCCCCCTACATCCCCCTCCTCCCCCCTACATCCCCCTCCTCCCCTCTCCATCCCCCTCCCCTCAACCCCCTCCTTCCCCCTCTCTTCTTCCCCCCTCGTTCCCCTCCTCCCCCCTCCCCTCCCTCCCACTCCTCCCCTTCCTCTCCCCTCCTCCACCCCCTCTCCCCCCCTACATCCCCCTCCACCCCCTCCCCTCAACCCCCTCTCCCCTTCTTCCCCCCCCTCCTGCCCCCTCTCCTCCTCCCCCTCCTCCCCCCTCCTCCCCCCTCCTCCCCCTCCCCTCCCTCCCACCAAGATGAACGTCATCTCGCCCTTCCCTTTATACTGGTAGGAACCTCCTGGTTACACCAGCCCACAGGGGATTATTGTGTCCGTCCGTCCGTCGTGCAGGGAGGGGCTGGGTGGGGAGGGAGGGACTGGGTGGGTGGGGAGGGGAGGGTGGAGGGTGGGGAGGGGCTGGGTGGGGAGGGTGGGGCTGGGTGGGGAGGGAGGGAGGGGCTGGGTGGGGAGGGTGGGGCTGGGTAGAGAGGGGAGGGGAGGGTGGGGCTGGGTGGGGGGTGGGAGGGGAGGGGCTGCGTGGGGAGGGTGGGGCTGGGTAGGGAGGGGAGGGTGGGGCTGGGTGGGGAGGGGCTGGGTGGGGAGGGTGGGGAGAGGCTGGGTGGGGCTGGGTGGCGGGTGGGAGGGGTGGCGCTGGGTGGGGAGGGGCTGGTCACCCCGTGGTGCCCTTATAAAACTCAACGTTTAACCAACTCACGCCGGCTTGTGCCCGCCCTCACAGTCGGGCATATTTGCGGAATACACCACGCCGCTGTTGACCCTGGCCATTGACCGAGCAACCCAACGTTCCTACCAGCTCCCTCCGCAGGATTGTGGTTCAAACACTCGTGCGCAATACGAGGGTTGCTGCGATATGGCGATACCACGATATATCGAGATCCACGATAATCGTTTGGTCAGTTTGGAAATGCAGTATATCGTGATATCGTACGTCTGTGTGCATACCTGTCAACCCCCTTATCGGTGCCCTACCTTTATATTACAGATCAATTCAGACCTTATTGGTCACCCCGTGCCCCTTATAAATCTCAACGTTCATCCGACAAAGTCCCATCACAAGGGAGAAACACAAACAAATAGACAAAGCTTGATTTAAAGCTTTCGTGACTGCAGGAATCCATACTCTGGTTCTTTCGGTAAAGTCATGTAGGTATAAATAAATAATAAATCATTAAATCACAACGTTTCGAATACCTGATTTTTGAAACGTCGTGATTTAATTGATTTATTTAGCATGTATTATTATTTTATTATAATTTTTACCTACGTGACTTTACCGAAAAAAACTAAGAGTACGGTATATGTATGTTGAACTTATTTCGCTCGTTACATAGCCGACCGTGCTAATCGAAGGTGCTAATCTTAACTCGATTTTTTTTCTTTTAACACAAATATTTGCCTTCATTCTCTTTTTAAATCATTTATATTAAGTTCGCTTGCTTGCTTGCTTGCGTGCTTGCTTGCTTGCGTGCTTGCTTGCTTGCGTGCTTGCTTGCTTACGACCGTGCAAATCTTTCGGTCGTTTTTTAACCCACTTCCCGTGATCCAATCGAGCTGACATTTTCCACACAGACTCGTTGTGCTAGACAATGAATGTTCGTGAAAATTTTTTTCAAAAATTGTACACTTTTTAGGCAAAAAAAAATATTTAACATATATTCAAATAGAACTCATTCATGGCTTTGGCTGAACGTCACAGTGTAAGAGCCCAGAGCGTAACCCCTCCACAGGCCGTGGCGGAGTAGCGCAGTTGGTAGCGCCCTCGCTTCCCATGCCAAAGGTCGCGGGATCGATCCCCGCGTCCTCCACAGGCGAATATATTTTTAAATCGTTTATATTAAGTTCGCTGCCACGCATATAAAGGATTTATAGTGAAAAACTTTGTTTTTACGGGTTAATTTTTTTTAGATTGTGATTCAGCAGGAAGGGCTCGGTAAGCTGCGACGGTGTAGATGTTGTTACACGGTAAGAGGGTGTCGGTTACATTTGACGCAATGCCAATAAAGCAGTAGCGATCGGTGGGTGCTTTACACGTTACAGAAATAGGGAACCGATCGAAAACGTAAAAAAATCAAACACACGCAAAGAATATGACGACATTCTTAATACGAACAAAAATAGAGGGGTGGCGGGGGGGGGGTGTGGGACATGTCACTTAACTTAATAAAATGTTCGGTTTGTAAATAAAGTAGTGCTTTACAAAACACGTTTCGGAGTAATTGAGCGCGTGGTGGCTCTCTGAAGTAATCGTTCTGGTGGGCATTGTTTCAATTATATAATTTGGTTATTGTGCCACACAGCATCTGTGCGTTTTAATACTGGTAGTAACCTCCTGGTTACACCAGCCCACAGGGGATTATTCTGTCCGTCCGTCGTGCATCCAAAAATGGGAGGGATGGGGCTGGGTGGAGAGGGGAAGGGATGGGTGGGGAGGGAAGGGCTGGGTGGGGAGGGTGGGGAGGGGCTGGGTGGGAAGGGTGGGGCTGGGTGGGCAGGGGAGGGTGGGGAGGGGCTGGGTGGGGAGGGGCAGGGTGGGGAGGGGAGGGTGGGGAGGGGCTGGGTGGGGAGGGTGGGGCTGGGTGGGGAGGGGAGAGTGGGGAGGGGCTGGGTGGGAAGGGAGGGGCTGGGTGGGGAGGGTGGGGCTGGGTGGGGGTGGGAGGGGTGGGGCTGGGTGGGGAGGGGCTGGTCACCCCGTGGTGTCCTTATAAAACTCAACGTTTAACCTACTCACGCCGGCTTGTGCCCGCCCTCACAGTCGGGCATATTTGCGGAATACACCACGCCGCCGTTGACCCTGGCCATTGACCGAGCAACCCAACGTTCCTACCAGCTCCCTCCGCAGGAATGTGTTAAACACCGTGTGGTGTGCATCTGCAATGATACGCATTTTGGCAGCTTTAAGTGAGCTTGCAATCGAATACCTGATTTTGAGTCAATTTTATTCCTACTGGACGTACGTAAAAGCTCATAAAAACAGTAAAATAGAAAAAAATGTCGAGTACAATTACAAAGCTATGGGAAGCTGATATCGCAATAATCTTAATATCGTGAAATATAATATCACGGAAAATCCCTATTCGAATATTTCAACGGCTGCTCACACTCACTGGGTCGTGATAAGCTCGTTCAGTGCGGTTTGGCTGGGATAGGCAACCCGGCAGTTTCGGTTTAAAAAAAAATCTTTCCTCGCGTGCTGGAATTCGTGATTACGGCTCAAGGTTGGGGCTACTACCTAAGTGGGGTGGGCGAGGCTACTCGTGAATTATTTCATATGACGGGAAAAGCTTATACGGTACTGTAATGGAAAGTCTAGTTTTATTGATCCACTCATTGGCTTTCTGAGATCTCAAGTGATCCGGTCATCCTCGCAGCAGCAGATTTTGGCTGGCCATCAAACAAAGACGGGCAACTGCATCGCGCGTTTTCAGATGCGCTACTTGCGACCGCCTGGAACGCTCTTCCTTCCGATATTAGGAATCCACTGGAGCTATGCACTTTTAAATCCAGTTTGAAAACTCATTGCTTGATCGTTGTCTTTCCACCCGCACCTCCGATTAGCACGGTTGGCTACGTACAGTTGCGAAAGAAGTTCACGATACATACAAGTGGAGAAATGGAAGTCCCATTCGATCGGTGTTGTCGGAAAAATATGTGGAGCCGATAAGCGGTCAGTCACCCCGTTCCACATCCTCGTGCTAGTGCCGTACGCTAAGGTGGGCAGGGCTGATGGAGCTCGGGTTGCCAACTCAAGACCTCCCTGAAATGTGATTCGCTTTATTTTACCCAGGAAAGCACCAGAACAAGACACACTTTGAAGAGGGTCCTGATCTTTTCGGGGGAATTGTTAGGGCAATACATCACTGGTTTTTGTTTTGCACTTCTGTGAGGCTGGAGTGCCAGGGGTAACCCCCATGCATTCAAGGGATTAATTTAACTCAAACTCACCGCAGATGTTGCTGTGACCTACTTATTGTACTGCCTCTTTCTACAAGTACTCTATGCCGTAGCCTACACGTGTATGCCCCACGCAGGATATTGGACACTGTATACGTGCAGCGCTTTTGTCAAGCGACACTACTGGATGATTACCTCATTTGCTTGATGAGCACCTGTACGGATCGTGGGGGTCATTTGACCATACTTTACGTGAATTCCCGATTGCAGTATACATTCAAAGTAAAGCTACCCAACGTCTGGTTGGTTTTGGATGCAACAGAAAGATAAAGGCCACTCGCTGGGAGCGGCACTAGTAGATAGGTGGGTATTAACAGTTTAAAGAAGCCGACAGCTCTCCAGGTGTCGAAGTTGAGCCTCCCGGAAATGTGGGAGCTTTGTCCATAAGAAGGTTGCTACTTTACTTGTGTAGAGGAGTAAAATGGGGACGTGACGTCAGGTGTGCCGTTCAGTGCGATGACGTCACGTCTCCTAGGGTACTTAAGGGAGACCCCGTGACGTAAGCGGGGTCACCGTGGGAACGGGTAGAGTAAGCAGGGTGAAGAGGGAACCAGGGGTAGAGAGAGGGATCGAATAGGGAGTCTGGGGAGAAGCCGGTGGTAGCCGTAGAGGTGCTTCTCTCTCCGGTCGGTGGAGTCAGCAGAGTCCACGATCCGACACGAGAGAGAGAGACCGGAGCTAGCCGGCAGGGACCCAGACTCAGAGTAGGACCCCTAGCCCCTGGGAGTTGTGTACCCTGTGTGTTATTGTAACAGCTTTAATAAACCCTGGCGAAAGCCCTTAACTTACCTCCGTCTCCGAGTACGTCCGTGGGAGCTTCTCTACACTTGTATGGTTCACTATACAGCATAGGGAATATTAAGA